AAAAAAAAAAAAAAAAAAAAAAAAAAAAAAAAAAAAAAAAAAAGTGGGAAATTTTGCTCGATATTGTCAGATGTGGTGTGCTATAGAAGTGCTGTAGCACATCAGAGGGGTGTGCGGTAGCACACCATGGAACCCCCGGGGAATACCCGAAACCACCAAAACAAGCAAGCAAAGCGTACCACCTAGTCAGGGTAGAACATGCATCAATACAACACTCAATTTGCTCCTGAACAGACCGATATAGTCCCCCTACATTTGACAGATATCAAAACACGAGACAGTCTAGTTTGAGACTAGGCTACTAAGTGAATATCGTACGATGTATGCCTTAGGTCTAACTTTAGCGCCAGGAACGGTTCTACGTGAAAATGAATACGGTAACAACCGATCATGTACAAATAAAAAAGTCTTGTGGATAAGTGCCGATCTTGGCTATCAAAGTGCCTATGGATAATAGTACCAATTGGAGTCTAGTCGAGGTACATAAATGTCAGCGCCGGATTTGGATCGGCCATGCTCAAAAACAAGAGAAGAGAAACGTATTCTTGCCTTGAGTGTACGGCATGGAACTTGAACAACTGGGAGATAAGGCCCTCAATGAACGATATAATAAAGGCACATGGATGGATAAGATTCTACCTTATGCATTTGGCATCGCGATGATGAATATTCTTATGAGTGTTTAGTAACTAACAGTAACTAAGTAATTGCGCAAAAGCCAACCTACGAGATTAGCACGCCCGTTGGTGATAATTGTAAGGATCGCGCCGAGAGGCTTCGCGCCGAAAATAAGTCTTCGAAAACTTCACCAGCTCATGGACTCCAAGGCTGGTGGAGAGTCTTCGGGAATTGTCGCACCTTCCAAGCCTGTGTGACCCGTTGCAGAATAGAGCCAGCCGCCGGGCTCAGCCGCTATGCAAAGTCAAAAGTCTTGGCGATGGGTCCAAAAGGGGCCATCAAGGCCCTTCATCATAGAAACCGATAACCCACGTGCAATGATGAGCAGCATGATGCCTCTTCTGCAGACTCGAGCAATCCGGGAGGGTGACTTGGGAGGCGACATCCTCTCGGACGGGATTTGCCAAGAATAGGGGACCAAATAGTCTTGCTGGGTCTTGAAGGTTCCAGGTTCGAAGTTCGGAATTCCTGGTGGGCAGAAGAAGAAAGATTTGCGGGGCAAGGCACCTTAAAAAGAACTGTACGTTGTTCTCCTGCAAATAAGCGCGATGATACCTGATCAGTGATAATGGGAAGAAGCGGCCAAACTGATCTTGGCTTACGGCTTGGCTTTGCTGGGTCACCTCATGCATGCTAACGCTGCCGGTATTCGCATCTTGCAGGAGCTTGGGCAATTAGGATCAGTGGGTTTAGGTGGGCACACGATGCTGTGAAATGCGCCTCTGGTATTGCCTAGCAGCAGCTGGCAGAAGGTAATGAATTCTGACGCCAGGACGCTATCGTGCTGGCCTAGAAAACCCCTGAATCCGCAAAACTTTCGATCATGCCAAACCTGGAGTACCTTTTCTGGCCTGTTCAGCCCATGGGCCCGGTGTTTCGTTTCCTTGGGAGGCAATCAGTCAAGCGGGTTCCCATCCTTATTGGATGCAGCCCAGAATATTGGAAGATCTTAATATATCTTGCCGTTTGTACTCAGACCTCTGTCATTGCTTGAATGTTTGCTGTCTCTGTCACATGTGGATCAATGTCATTCTTTAGTTATCTTTGGAGCAACGAGGATATTGATTCGTATTTGACAGTTTTTTAATGCTCTCCGAAACAGAAAAACGCGCATAAGCAGAACATTGATACAAGAATCAACTTTGCAGTGATATAAATAAGCCCATAGTGGCTTTTCTAATCAATAATTGTCAGAGGGTGGATCATGAATCTCACACACCAGGGTCCGCTTAAGCACTGATCAGTACCACGGTGTTCAGATAGATGTATAGGGACTCGGGGGATTAGCCATGGTCACCCAAATAAGCATGCACCTCCTTAAAACTAGAGGCGCAGAACATAGATCAATACGTCACACAATTAGCGCCCATATCAAACCGGTCTAAAATTCAATAGGAAAGCACCACCTTGTTCAACAAAAATGTTACATAACAAATCTTTGTGTCAATGCCCCCTTCTCAAGGGCCTCCCTAAGCCACTGCAAGCAAATTGTAATGAGAGCCTTGAATGGACTGAGCATTTTCGAATCTGCAATAGCCGCAGACATCGGTAACGGCCAATCCCTCCCGGAGCAGACAGGCGTCACTATACCAAGTGAATAAGAAATCACTGCTAGGTTGACATTCTGAGATTCCGTATTTAGATCTCGGTCGCTGTCCCCGTTCCATTGGCCAATCGATACCACGGACCTTGGTGACACATGCCAAAAGCAGACAATGGACGCCCGCTGGGATTAATGTGACAGTAGGTCGACCTATCTCGCAACCGTGGTGTATTTGTGGTCAGGTTATTCTCCTTACCTAGTACCTACATACCTTAGTGGTCTGCAGGCGGGTTCCCCTGGTTTCTGCATCGTCAAAAGGGCCAAATACCGCGGGAAGAAAGTAAGGTGAAATGCACGCTCCCAGAAGCCAGAAGCCAACGCCTTCTCAGAAACTAGTTACTCAAGCCTTGACAAGCCACGACAGGAGCCGGCCCACACCCCGAGGTTCCTTTGCAGACTTGCGCACGCGTGGCGGGCTTGGCTCATGTCTCTTTGACCTCTCGGGGAATTACGACACTTTCTCGTAAGTCTTCCTCCCCAAACCCCCTCGAAAGAGATCATCATCTGAGGTTACATAGTACGCTTCGAAACAATCTTCCCCCAGCATCGTAGAATACGACTATCAGCTATCAGATCTTTCCCCTTGAGAGAGAAGAGAGGAGCAGTGTACTGGTTTGGCATTGATCAAGCTACTAAACGAGCCGGGCATGGAATACCAGAGCATGTCCACAAAATTGCCTAATCCAGAGTAAAGGTTACATTCAAGTGAGCACGCAGTGGCCCTGCGCTTGCTTGCATTCGGCATATAGTTAAGGCTGGTAATTTCCTCGCGAAGAAATGGCACCCTGAGCCCTGGGCCTGTCTAGTAACCAGGATATGTCCGCCGATCAAGAGACGTCCGATCCGGTCCCGCGAACAGGACAAGAAACCTATGCCCTGGGCAAAGATGGACCGGGAGCCACTTTTTGACACCCTGGAGAAAACAATATCTAGAAAGGCACATCCAGTCCTTTTGGTCATCCGTTCGTTTGAGGTTTCTCTTCCCGAATGGTTGGTATCCCCGTATTTTCTTGTATTTTTTATATCCATATGTTGCTCGTTGTTCTTTAACACCCCAACCGGAGGATTCTGTGCCAGTAACTAAAGGCACAACAATTGCTGCCCACCATGGCCGTCGAAGACCGTGGGCCCCAGTTGATGGTGGTCTGCATCACGCTGTTGACGATTGCCATTATTTCCATGTTCTTGAGAATCATCACTAGACTGTTCATTGTCAAGGGGCTCGGTAGAGATGATTATTTGATGGCTTGTGCTTCTGTGAGTGAATCTACATATTCCTGATACACTCGAGTCAGTTACTGACCCTAATACCTATACAGATTTCATTCATTCTTTTCGTCACTTGTGCCATTACCGGCGTTCACTATGGAACTGGAAGGCATCACAGCGACCTTTCAGACGACGATTTCGAAACAGCAATGAAGGTAGGCAGAACTATACTACGCTTGGCACGATACAACAGCATACTGAGTTTTTGGATTTAGTACTGGTGGCTCTGCTACATTTGGTACTGCGTTTCCATGATTACCTCCAAGCTCTCTATCGGTGTTTTCCTACTTCGCATCACGGTTCAACGCATTCACCACTACATTCTTTACTTGGCCATGTTCTGCTCGGTTCTCACCGGCCTCGTCTTTTTCTTTGTTACTCTGTTCCAGTGCCACCCCATCACCTACTTCTGGGCCAAGGTTGGAAAGGAGGGAAGCTGTGTCGACGCGGGCATCATCGTCGCCCTGACGTACCTGTACAGCGTAGTCAGCATGATTGCCGACTTCACGTTTGCTCTCCTGCCGCTTCACATGATTCGCAGCCTACAAATGAGCCAGAGGACAAAGTATGCCCTCATTCCAGTTTTGGGAATGGGTTGCGTGGCTAGCATCGCCGTCGTCGTTCGCTTTGCCTATATCGAGAATTTCAAGGACCCCGACTTTCTCTGTAAGAGATTACCTCCCTGACGACTCAATCACATTTGGATCACTATACTGACCTATACACTCAGGGGCAACCGTGGACATTGCCATTTGGTCTACCATTGAACAGGGTCTTGCCATCACAGCCGGTAGTCTTGCCTCTCTGCAACCCCTCGCCAATACCCTGGGCCAAAAGATGGGTATCTGGGATACGCATGGCCGCACGGGTCGCAGCGCCAGCAACATGCACGCCCGCACCTTTGGCAGCAACCAGCTATCGCGCAAGAAGAACAGCCGGTCGGCCAAGGACTCGTACGGCATGACAACGTTCGACATTGACGACGCCGAGGAAGGGTCCGTCTACTCCCAGGGCCGTGACAGCGGCAACAAGGCCGTGCCAGGCAACAACCAGATCGTCCTCACGCGCGAGGTCGACATCACCACCAACTCCAATACCGAGGCCGACAGCAACAACGCAAAGTCATCGAAGCGTACCAGCCGCCTGTGGCCGGTGTCGGAACGCAAGTCCAACGAGAGCCAGGAGGAGCTCACGGGCAAGTCGCCGAAGGATACATATATCGAGGAGCTGGTGGTGCCGCGAAGCTTCCTCGCGGACGGGAAGTCATCGCAAAAGTTTTGATTTTATTTACGTTGTCTATCGAATAATTACTGTTACTATACCCCCAAGTAACATACGCGAAGCAACTGCATATTTGGTTCTTCCATTATATGCTGTTCAACACTCTGCTTATCGTGTGATGGTTGTGATGCCTTGCCGTGATTCTTGCTTAAGACGCGGAATAAGTGGAATAAAGCCCACGATAGCAAGATTTCCATGGCCCAGTCCTGTTCAGGGGCTCTAATCCGTAAATCCGAAGCTAGAAACCTGGGCAAGGAGTGCTAACCAATCTAGGAAATCTAGGCACCAATTCTATCATGTGTGGGATCGAACTGACAGTTTCCACCTGAAGACATAAGCCACCTCATCACTCTGTATTAACCATTGGCTACGTGCAGTTCCACGATAAACGCCACTCCGGTAGCAGCAAGCTCAGTACAGTATGTCTCGATCGACTGGGCTGAGATGGATCTGGCGGATCTGACCTATACTCAAAGACTCGGTCGCTTACGATTTAGGAAAGGTACTTGTGCCGCAACGGTGGAGAGGGCGTCTACACCTGCATGCGATATTCGATAGGCAGTGTGTTCAAGACTCTACAACGTAGAAATGTAAACCGTTTTTAATATTGCACTTTCTTGTATCAACAAGTAAAAGACAGCGACAGATAATAGTTGTCTGATAATAGGCTGGAACTATGATAGCTTTCGGAAGCACATTCGAACCACGCATCCGGAGTCAATAATCTCTTAGAGCGCGGTACAGCTTCTCTGGAGAAGTTTCCGCTTTTACACCCATCATCCCTTCCCACGTTATCTTGAACAAATGACATACCTCCATTGTCGGCATCTGGCTTTCCCACATCGACGATGACTAAGCAATGTTGGACATTTCTCATAAAGTGGGTACTATCATGCATACGATGGTCGAGCGAATAATGATTCTTAAAGCAGTCTCACGGTATTGCAGAAAATACATGGAGTGAAAAAGGCTCTCAATATATCCCGCGTTTTTCGAATTCGATTAGGGATGTTGAAGTTGAGTGGCTGAACATGACTAACCTACAGCAATCATTTGCCATTGAAGGGTGACGTTTTTGGAATACTAAATTAACACGATTGAAGCTACCGATAGCCTTTAATATTATTTTTTGTTTCCCCTCAACCTTGCGCTCTTAGGGGCGGTACACCTTTTACTGGCATCGCCTTGTTTCTTTCCTTTTTTTTTCTTGCTCAATATCAGCGAAAGCAATCTAAGTGTAAAGGTCCAAGTGCTTATTCAACAGTCTTGTTCCTACTACATACGAGCATTCTTGTAAGGGTTCAAGTGCTTATTCAACGATCTTGTTCCTACTACATACGAGTATTCTAAACATAGCGAAAGGAGGAAAGGAAAGAGAGTCCTTTCGTCTTGATCAAGCCCCTTTTAGGGTCTTGAAAAGCGTCCGAGCTCTGGGTCCGTGCAGACGGCGTTGGCCGAGGGTGGCCGTAGCCTGTGACACTAAGTGGCAAATTCATAGTCACTAAATTCAAGTAACTAGCTTTTTTTCTTTCTTTCTTTTCTTCCCTTTCATGTCTTCATCATACCTCATCTTTGAGCAAATTCAAATGGCTTGCACTCAAGTTCGTCATTTCAGTACCCATAAGAACAGGGGATTTGGTGATAGCCTCTGGGCCAAAATGGGCACGCTCTTCGGCGTCCGTAATTTTGACCCGTTACCAATGATCTGTAAAGGTGTTCAAATCGAGATAATAAGATTTGCCCTGCATGAGAGGGAAAAAAAAGTATGCCATCATGTCGAAATCGTTGAAAGCACCGCGGCTCGCGTACAAGGCAATCGGCCCTGCCGTGCTGGCGATGCTGACAACATCCGCCCACGTGCCCCAATTGGCAACGCCCATTCTCCAACTATTGCCGACCGAAGCGACCCATGTCCACACGCTATCGTGCCCCTAGTTGCATAAAGGATACAGAATGGGCTGATCGGTATTCGTGAGATAGTCCCGCATCTCAATATGCCAAGTCTCCGATAAGCCGGCTAGGGATGAACAAGTCTGCTCAACCCCGAGCTACAGGGCGTGTAGCAGTTGTCATACTTCCAGTAACCGATGCCCCAAGCTGCGAGCAGCTGTGCGTCCTTCTCCTCGTATCCTTCACTGCTAGGGTAGCCGTCGCTCGCAAACGTGCTTGCATCTCCATTAAGACCTAGCTTTAGACCCATCTCGTAGATAATAAACAATTTCGTGTCTCGAGACGAAGTCCTAGGTTAAGTCATACCCCCCATAACAACACTAAGGAATCTTTTCTTGACCACCCGGGACACAAATGCCGCATTCGTCTGTTATACATTTGCATATCTCGTCTTTTGCATCGAAATCATCCTTGATTGTGTACTAACTGGAGTTTTTTTTTTTTTTTTCTTTTTTTTTTAATTGAGATATACTCTATGACTCCATCATGATAAAGGCAACAACACTTAACCAGTCGTATTACGATGTGCTTGTTCTTGTAAAGCTATATCAGAAATCATTTTTGTTTTGCCCCATAGCCATCATTTTCATTCCCAGCTTGAGCAAAGTCATGCTCCGCGTCGGGTTGAGGCTCCTTGCCTTTGCCCCCTCCGACGACGATTCCGCCGCCCTCAATGTCGTGTTCCAGTGTGCGAGAGCCTGCTCGATGAGCGAATTATTGCCCACGACATCGCTGACAACGCTGATGATGGACGCATTACTGCTGCCGCCATTTCCGGATATGCCGTTGATGAAGGCGCTGGCAAACTCAATGTCCGAGGTGTAGAGGTGCAGTCCCGCCCATTATGCCGAGCTTGGCTTGGTTAAATAAAGTGAATATCGTACGATGCATGCCTTGAATCTAATTTTAGCGCCAGGAACGTAGGAGAGTGAGGTACCTACAGTTGTCGCAAGCCGTAGAGCGACGGCTCATAAACGCCTGACTTGGCGTGTTTATGCTTGCATTCACTCAAGACAGCGTAGAGTAGGTAAGGTTGCTTGTACTACAGTATATACGAGTGGAGCCAGTGGTGACACCTGTACGCTGTTCATAGTACTCCAACTGGCATTTCCTACATCTTGTCAGCGATCACCTTCTTTTTCCTCCACCGAAACCCTTCCATGAGTTTCAAGTCTATGCATACTAGTTATCGTGATCGATGTATAATCACTATCCATCAAGGTTTGGAATGGCCTATCGCCGTACTGATGGTATTGCGTGGCTATCCCGAGTATTCCCAAAGTTACGTGAACGAGCTGTTGACGCCGTACTCTGATTACCGTAGAGATTTTATGACGATGTTGGAATCTTCTTAGACGATGTCAATGAATATCCGGCTCATCTGGAGCGGATCTGCAACTCGTTCACCCCGCCCCCCACCCCCAAACTCTTTTTGTGAAAACTTCGTCAAGGTCGTAAATTTTGTATTGGGGTAGGGCATGGCGTGGTAATATGTAACACGTCCATAGGTTGACAATATGGATTTTACAGCATCGCAACTATTGAATATTGGCTAGGCAGCTCGAAGAAAACCATTCACCCAAGTATTGGTAGTAAGAGAGGAGGAAAACACCAAATGCAAGTGATACTCAAATATGCACGAGGTGCAATAGACATTGCTGATATAATAGAACTCTACTCTTGGATATTCCACTGAAATTGCTTGTACACAGTTGGTAATCAGGATCAGGCACTTGTGTCCTGGAAAAGTTGGCATAGGCTTTTGAGTAATTGATAGATACTTTGCGAAGGTGCGTTGTTGAAGACAGTCCTAACCCAATCATCAATGCAACATTCCAGCGGTTGTCCATGCAACCACCAGGGGGAACTACAGACGGCGCCGTGTAGCAGCGAACGATGGGCATCTCGCCTAAACGGAGCTGGTTTAAGGCAAACTTGAAATCATACGAGGTAAAACATGTCCGGCCTCAATAGTTCGGTTATAGTGACTTCCAAACCCATATAAGGAAGCCCTCCAATAGGTTTTATGCTTTGTGCTAAAGTTAAACCTTTTTCAATTTAAGAATAACGGTAGCGTGAATCGGCCATGAAGGCGTTTAGTTTCCGTATCGATGATTTGTCACCGACTTTTTTTGACAACTAAAATCTTGAGATCATGCCATTGATTTACACGTGGGTGGACTGACCAGGAAATGCCTAGGCAATGCGTCTCACTGGACCACTACGTATCACCACAAGAATTTTGCATTGGCCGGTATTTTAGTAGCATACACGCGCTAACATAGGACACTAAGGAGATTAGGCCATGTGGGGATCTTGAGCACATGTCTAGGTCAGCCAATTATAAGTACTGATTTCGTCCCGCGCAGACGGCACTCGACACACAGGCGTTACCCTGTAGTAACAGCCACAAAATGCCTAGCGTCAGTAGTCGAGTCCCGGATTGTGCAAGGCATATATTGCTTGTTAAAGGCAGAGCTGATCTAGTCTGGTACACAAACTTGAAATCATACGGTTTTTTGCCTGCTATAATGATGTGTTGACATCCATTCGGCTGTTCCCAGAGAACGTTGTACCAAACCATAGTCAAAAAAGGGGTATTCTCTCATCTGGTCGCCAACGTTCACTTATCGGGGAAGATAAAGCGTCCGTGCTTGAAAACATCGGAAGAGAGACGAGGACAGGCAGGTGGCTTTTTTAATTATCTCTATACCAAGTGGACGAAAAGGCCAAGCGTATCTGTTTCCCCTTTTTTTTTTCTTTTTTCTTTCCTTTTTTTTTTCTCCCCCTTCCCTGGACTAGCGAACAAGGCTGTTGTACTACCAAGACGAGTCGTTCTTCTGGGATTTGCCTCTAGGACGCTGGACAGCCGCATAGAAATATACGTCGATGATTTGTAAGTTGTATACAGAGGCTGAGGCACCTCAACAACTTTCTCCACGACACTTTGTACCAGTTTTCCATAGTAAGGGGGCAACGGCAACTGGCGCCACTAGGCAGAAGATCAACTCAGCCCTCTACCACTTACATTCCTGAACTACTACGATCCTTTAAACGGCCATTCGCCTCCGTAACAACGCTGTCTGCTTCGACATTTTGATTTGAGCGATAGCTTGGGTAGTTTCGATATGATGGACGATAGCCAGAGACACAGGCGGGATTCTTGGGCATCGAATCGGGTTATGAGCTATCATAGCTTCATGTCTATGTAAGTCAGGCTGGCCCGGGAGCTATACTAGCACATGTGTTATAATTTGCTTGCTAACAATCTCTTCCCTAGAAACTGTCCCCAATATACTGCGGCCAAAACCATGTTCGTGTCTCACGACCAGTTCAAATTCGAGCTTGCCAATAGTCTGGATGAATCCATGCTGAAGAAGTTCGATAATCGCAAGGTCTTTAACAATTGGTCACTTCCAAGAAATCCTTTCAGCTCCTCAACGAATCATGCCGTCCCACGACAGACCATGCCGTATGCGCATAGTTGCAAACCATTAACAAAATGCCAGCTGGACAAGAGTCTAGCACACTCGGCCGTCCCAGAAAGAAGCGCGTTGGCCGCGGTATTGACGGCTGCTCATGAGCCCGCTGATCCGGACTGCTCTCAGACTCATTGGTCGAGAAAGCGTAACCGTGGGTCTGCCACGGATGATGCTATTATTTCCATTCAAGGCAGATGTGCGCGTACTGGCGACACCAAATCTCACATGAATTACGTGGATATACCCACAGCACATATCGATTTCTACACTGCCGGGCCAAGGAGTCCGACATCTGCGACACTGGGCGGGGAATCCAGCTTGCAAAGGGTTTCTCGCACTGGTGAATTGCTGCGCAATGGAGAAGGCACTCTCAGAGCTTCACCGATGCCGACGCTTACAATGCTACCACACGACGGCCCATGTAAGTCACATCTTGACACGCCACTTCCACTGATCCACTTACCGCGGAGAGCCATACCACGCCAGCGCCAGCTTAGCAAAAGCCAGCCCCTGTCTTCACCGCGTAAATCAACTAAGCCACCAACAGCCAGTATCACCTGCATCCAAGGCTTCTACATGTGCGAGTGCTGCCCAAAGAAGCCAAAGAAGTTTGCGACAGCCGAAGAGCTAAGGTAATTTAATCACCATCGTGGTGCCCATGGCCGTGCACCGTGTGAGGCGCTGCGCATCTCCAATTTAAGCCGCCGTCGGTTTGCTGACGTCCGCCCAGAGCTCATGCAGCCGAAAAGCAATACGAATGCTCAGTTTGTGGCAACCGCTTCAAAAACAAGAATGAGGCAGAACGCCATCTGAATAGTTTGCACGTTCGGCGACACAGCTGGTCATGCTCAGTGCTCCTCTCCGCGGGTTATAACAAGGCATTCCACGAAGATATAAACTGTCCCGGCGCAGCTGACGTATGTGGCTACTGCGGTGCACAGTTTCTCCGAGGTGGTGGTGCTGCTGATCGTGCGCTTCTTCCAACAGAGCAGGACTGGGACGAACGGCTTCGCCATCTTCAAGAGATGCACAACTTTTTGGGGTGCAACTTCAGGAAGAAGTTCTTCCGTGCTAACCACTTCCGCCAACACCTTAAGCATAGCCATACAGGCATGAGCGGTAAATGGACGAATGTACTCGAGACTGCGTGCATGATTCAAGAAGAGTCTGGGTTACGTTAAGGAAGCTACATGCCTGTATTGTTCTAAAGCAGCATACTTTTGGGTTGTGTATTTGACGCATATGAAGGAATACATTCCTATGTCTGCTACCTGCGGCCATGAGATGGCTAGGAGAGTTATTGACCAATCACTCTTCCCATGTCGAATCTATACAGGACACAGCACCAGTAAACGGCTGAACATTACTAGGGTATATGTCTTATTTTCAGGCCATTGCGATCCCGGCAGGCCGGGTTTCTTAACAGTGTATCTTTCACCAACAGTGTGTCGGTCATCTACTCTCTGATGAAATAACAAACAATTACTGAGCCGAAAGAGCCCAAACTACTATTAAAGCTAGGCAGAGCTCGTTCAATGCGTTATTTGTGGCATATGCAGCTCTGAGACCAGGCTTTTCGGTTCACGGAGATCTCAACTTCAAATTGTCTACCTTACGGGTAAGAGGTACAGGAGTACATAAATTCGGTGAGTGAGTCCATCTGATGCAAGCTGAGCCTAAATGATATGATTCATTTGTGTTTATGTCAAACTTTGCATAGTTCTTACTCTTTACAGTCTGCTATAGATGCACCGGTTTCGACAAGACTGGCGCCCGATTTGTTGCATTAGTAACATGGCTTCCTGGGGCGATAGACAGTTTGCCTCCATAAAAAGCCCCAAGTGCCTTTTATACATAGTAATAAGTTAGAATTAATCAATGTTTTCACCTACCATGTTTTTTATACCTTGCGCACAGAGAGGCAAATTCTTATTGCATATTTGGTTATAGTTAGCTGTAAGATTATTCCCCTCTTACCGCTGAGGCCTTTTTTTTGGGGGGGGGGGGGGGGGGGTGGGGGGGGGGGTTGGGCGCGGGGTAGTCGATACCCCGCCATCCTTATGTCAGCCCCTGCAGTGAGCTTAGATTATGTTAATGCCTGTGCGCCATTTGCAACACCACTCGAATTCCGATGTTCTTTATGAGATGCTTTTACTTAGATCCAGGAGAAGAGTGGCACGAAAATCCATCTACTCCACAAGAAGAAAAAGAATGCGCGTAACTAGCAGCAACGTACACTATAGGTCTAATCATTACCGCAAAGTGGTCTGATATAAGCATCCGCAGTTCTCTCAGCTGTCTAAACTTTATTATGCAGTTCCTTCTATTCCTTTAGACAAGGTCCTTAATTGGAGCGTCGGTAGACTTCGACCAGGCACTGACTCGGCTTCGTTGGAGGGCGCCCTGCTGTGAGGACCACAAGGAAGAGCAATTACCTAAAAGGCACTCTTCCATGGCCAATTCATAAGCAAGTGTCTGTGCCATCGTTTCGATGAGATTTCATCATACCAAATCTTCCGGCGAAAATCGTCCCTGGAGCTTTTATTAAGTGATATGTAGACGCGATTCTGTATGTGAAAGACGCTCGGCACCGAAAGACAATTTAGAAATATTTCTTCCGCCAAGGTTACAACGCAATTCAGCCTGACTCACAAAGGACCGCCCATAACCAGCTTCATTATGACTGGATTTCTTGTGCCCAATCATTCTAAGAAGCAGACCATGACAGAACTCGATGTCATGATCGCGAGCATATTTCTCGGCATCACTATTGCATTCGCCATTTTATCAGCTGGCACGGCAATGCGACAGTCCCTGCACTGTTACAGGCGATCCCACCAGGCGACAACCTATATTTTCATGATCTGGGGACATTGGCTTGCCAACAATACCTTTGCACTTGTCAGTTTCTTGTATCTGCGGGACGGGATCCAAGCGAGGTAAGGTAAGGTCCTCACTCATGCAGTCGGTGCGCCTTTCGCACGTTTCTGACACGTCCGCACGTCTTTAGTTCCTGGTTGTGGTTCTGGATACGTAAGCTCTCTATCTTGCTTGACGAGAAGCGATGTGACCCACAAAGTCTATCACGACTGATGTATGGGCGCCAGTGGTCCTTTTGGGTATTCCAATCACAGCTCATCGTACAGATCATTATCAATCGACTGTCACTTCTGGTGGTGCTACCAAATCATACGTGCAGGTTAAGTTAAGATGGATGATCTTTACCATTATGCTGGCTATTAACATCAGCGTGTTCGTCGTATGGATCCCGGCCCGGCTCCACTTCAGCGACAAATGGGTATACATCAATTCCATCTGGGACAGGATCGAGAAGTCCATCTTCCTTCTTGTCGATGCATCTTTGAACTTCTATTTCATTTACTTGATCTGGGCCCAGATCCTTGCTTATGATCTTACTAAATATAAAACACTTTATAAATTCAATATCATTATGGTTGGTGTTTCCATTGGGTTAGATGTGAGTTTAATATACGTTTCCGACAATCCAACGCGAGCATTGTGACAACACGCTGATCTGACGCAACTAGGTCGCCTTGATAGGAATGAAGTCCCTACCAAATGATTTAATGTACACCAGGGAAAGATTGTATCAAAGAACCGAGAGCTATCATGCTAACTATTGTGGCAGCTACCTCCAATTCCAGTCCGTCGCATATGCGGGAAAACTGCATATCGAGTTGAACATGGCAAATCTAATTGGGAAGCTAGTACGCTATTCCAACATCGATGCTCCTGCAGGATACTTGGCAACTGGCCTACGGACGACTGCGAAAGGTCACGCGACGACCGCTTACGATGCTCGCGACGATGCTAGTGCCAGCATATATATTCGCAATAGCCAAGGCTTCAGATCGCATATGGCTAGGGGGGCAAGCCATCCTTATCGTGGTCATTATCAAACACATATAGAACTAAGTAGTCTTGAAGACCTCTCCAGGACCCGCAGCAGCTTTCCGCGGGCTTGCCATGGAAAGGAATCCAGAGAACGACTGTGGTATCACAGACCGTCGACAGTTGCCCCGCAGCAACTTTTGGGGATGGAGATATACCAGCAAGGCATAGCGCGTCGCCCAAGAGAAATCTGAGGGCTCTACTTATGAATGTAGAATGACAGACGTACTAGAGCACCTAGGCCCGAGCGACAAGTACAGTATCATAGTCGACCATGACAGCCAATCTTCAAGATCAGTCTATTCCAAACATAGCACACCCCCAACCATTGATGGACAACCAGGCTTCACCCCAAGGGTAGCGCTTTCTTTACTACAACAGTCATTGTGAGAAACTCGATTCTTCAAAAACTTGACTAAGTGTTCTCAAAAGTCTCCATCGGGCAAGGGAATGGCTTGGGTACGATGACATATCTATACATGGACGATATCGGTTCCACAGGAATGGCATCAAGAACAGGCAAATCAGTCACGATTAGCACTGTGTTATCGTCTATACATATTTAACTGTCAACTTGCAGAAATCTGAAAAGAATTCTTGGTAGCGATAGTGTTTGCACTTGTGGACGACTAAACCTTGTTTGGAAACCGAAGTGGCCTGATTCGAGCTTGACATCAGACCAGTAGCACAACCCTTGGACGATGCGAACTATTTAGCGCCGTTTTATAATTACGGCTTTGCGTAGACAGAATCCGTGCGCGTGCTTATGACTGTGCACTCAGACCACAATTGCAGGCATGTTGTTGCACTGGGGCGTCAAACATCTAGAGAATCTTCTCCTGCCACACCTTCAAACTCGGATCCAAGAGGCGAGAGTTGACCCTCATCACGAAATGACTGAGCCGATACCTTACATTAACGGCAAGACTAGTGCATTAGTCGCGTAGATCCAAATATTTCTAGACTTCCGACCATAGCCACTGATGCATTGAATTATCGTGGTTAACGATGAATCGCACCCAGCTTGAAACCATCAAAAGGGATTTCCTGTTGGAGCGACATCACTACGAGCCGCTCAAAGAGAATATTTTCCTCAGTATCGGTAACTAGTAAGCGAAGAGGAATAATACCAAATGTATACGATATAAAAATATGCACGAGGAGCAGTAGACATTGCTAGTATACTATCACTCTACTCTTCGCTCTCCTCTCGTACACGATTGTCGGTCAGAATTAGACACTGCTTATATCCTGGAAAGGTCATGTAGTGTCGTAGACTTCAATATTATTATATACTGGGACCAACTGTCAGATTGTTTGCAGTTCCAACTCTGCCGTACGTCGAGTCGTGCCTGAAACGGCGGAAAATGCGGCATTGCCATCAAGCTTTACTCAAACTGACTGGCACCTATTCTAAGGTCCAATTTAGGTGCACCGTCGCGTTACTCAAGCTCGACATGGAGGAACGAAATCGATACGTTATTTACATGGTGACTTCCTATAACATGAGGCCTCGACAAGCTACAAGGTCCCATGGCTAACGATAGAAACGTTAGGATTAAAGCTCGAGTTCAGATGATCGCATTTGTTGCCCATAAAGTTCTCCAGTTAAAGCAATACAACGAGGATTACGAGACTCTACAACAGAACCACATCAAAGTCAGCAGTGGTGGGGACTGATCTCACAACCGTGAGTCTTTCGAATTTAGGGTTGGGTAACTACGACTGGCGCATCAGCAACACCGGGTTTGAGCTGGTGAAACGGTGATCAGGATTGAGTGTAAGGTATTTACAATGTGTGTGTAAGATCAGGTATATGCCCAAGAGTTCTTGAGTCAGACAAAATCGAACTGAAGTCAAATAACCTCGCTGTATAATGTCGGTGGGAGACTGATCCTGAATCCTGTGGTGTCCAATTGGTCTCTTTCACCCAATTCGAGTAGGTATTGAGCCGAGAATATTCTTCTGGGGTATAATGCCAATCCAAATCAAGATAGCATCCCGTAATCGTAAGCGTATTTGATCCGAGATCTTGGACCAAGTGCGTTGTGATTTGCCATTCCTCATTTTCCAACTCGTGATATTGTGATCGATGAGCCTGCGTAGAACATTTGATGAATAATCACTTCCGGAGAGCGTCGAAGAGCCGCACCATAGGTATCTCAACATGCTGCAGTCCACAAACTAAATAGTCTTCCCGGCCCCTTGTATTGCTGCTTAAACAGATTAAAGCAGTCTTTGTGGACAGTTGCACTTTCTTCTGGATTCTGGCAACGGCGACATGCAGACATACGGCAAAGCTGGTAATTACCGAATGGTGCGCAATGAGCATGATCAGGGAAAGCGCCGATATCGACGGTTTGCAGTTTGTGGCTGGTGTAGTCGTTGCGGATGACTAAGTCATTTGTTAGCGATTGATTTGGCATAGTTTATGAGCCGACACTGTAAAGTACTTACTCGCAAGAATTTCGTCGCCAGCTCGAAAAGCATAGCCACAGGCACCGCGAACCCAATGAACACAAAGATGGAATAGACAATTTCCTGGCGTAGATGACATGGTTGTTGTTGAATGGCATATTGAAAAGATCAAACGTGTACAGTTGGACGGGATTGATTGACTGATGAAATTTGGCCTCTCGTCACGTGAAACGTGCCGTCCACAGTGAATGGAATTTATTTTCACGTGACATTTAGTCTCACTTGACTTGAACAGTTTCCCACCTGACTCGATCCTCGTACTCCTACGGTAAAGTTGAAGTTTGATCTTTTGTGTATGTATGTATTGAAAACTGCTTTCACTAGTGACTGTAATGCCATCATCAGCATCTTGCTCGACCCAGGCTCGATCTCGCCTCTTAACGCGATCATCCGTCTTCATATTGCCTTCTGGAGTTACCGCTTCTGCTTAATCCTGAAAAGGATCTTGTTACGTGGCACCACTACACCTTTTTCCCAAATCAGACTTTTGCCGACGCTTGGGCAGAAACCCGCTTCATCCGCTTGAATTATTGTTCCCACTAGTTACATTTCGTCTGCCGTTATCACAAAAACAATAGTCACCTATTTTGTCGTCTGCTTATGTGGTAAGATTGAGTTGTACACGACACGTTGAATACAGTACTGCAGCACATTTATTCCAGGATCTAGATTTGGGGTCTGTGCTCAAGTAGTCTATAGATGATCGGATACTCTTCTGTGCTGGGATGCTTTTCTGGAATGCGCTCCTGGAATAATTTTCCGGGAAGTTCTTCGCCTATTCCAGTGGTCAAAATACGAACATTCTATACATGCGTTCTCGTCTTCGTTTCTTTACTCTTTGGCACAGACGCTCTATTTCCGACGCTGGGCCGGATATCCGTTTTTAGATCTACGCAAAATTGTAGCGTGAAAACATGATGACTGCACTTTTCAGTGCCAAATCCGCCCCTTATGTCGGACTGCCAAAAAGTATAACGCAACGAAGCGACGAGGCGAAGATTTCCTAGAATGAATCTATGATTCAGTCAAGTGACTCAAGACTACCCTTTGCACGACCGCAAGCCTGTGCAACTATTCCGATTCGCATGCTGCTGGAATTTCGCTGCTCGTAGCAAACAACAAGCAAGGGACTATGTATAGCTAAAACTTCAATTCTGATCAGAGAGGATTCATGCGCCATCTCTGCCTGCTGAGAATAATGCAGCGGTTATTCATGTTGCTGTTCCGCTTGATTGTCCCAGACGAGATGACCATCTCGCTACGACGAACTAAGCGCCCAACCATTCCGTATATCTCCTGTCTGCATGTGGCCCAATTGCAAATTGCTTGGTACGATACAAAATATCAAAAAAGTGGTTGACGTACTTCAAGCCGGCCAATCTGTGTCACCCGTTTGCCATTTTTGTAGTGCGGAACATCCATCTCGGTTGCCATTGTGCAATAATAGTTTCTGAAGGAAGACTTCTACTCAAAAATGACGGTTTCGAATAAAATATTTACGGCAGCGTTGTATGATGGATTCTACGTTTCATGCAGTGACTAGTCACTGCTTAAGTAGTCAGATGGACTGGAAATGATTGATCCAAAGTGGTTTCGGTTCACACAATCGGCTTCTCAGCCGTTCCAGAAGTGTGTATTAGAGCCAGATATGGAGGGTGTTTGCACCAGGTCAATTGAAATCGCTGCTTTGCAAAATTTGTCACAGTCCTGTGAATATGTACTGCGCATATAGACGTTCAAAACGATCTAATGACGGACACTTTTCGTGCAACATCGGAAGATAGAAAAATCTATATCTGGCTGTTTATGCGTGGAGTGTTCTTCAACCAAGTTATGCAATATAAAAAGTTCATTATCACCATTTTGTCCGAAGTCTCATCAGAGATGCGCGTCCATAGTCGCTATTGGTAGCACTCTAGCTTCTCAATATCCTTTTCATCCTCGTCATCGAGAGAACCAACTTTCACAAAATTAAGAATGGCCTTGAGGCGGAAGCCAGACTTTTACAATCACTCGGATCTATCCCTATTCGTGCCCACCCTCTCGTTACAATCAATGGTTCCGCGGAGACAGACTACTGCCACCTGCGGTCAACCTCGGATGCATGGATCGGCAAATCGTTCCGGGACCGCAGTCGGATCGTCAAAGTGGAAGACGTACCTCAAATGACGATCAGTGATTTTGGGAGCTTCGTCGACATCCATCACATCAATGTAGCACGCTTCTTCGGGCTGTACTACAACCAAAAACCGACCGACATTGTGTTCGAGTACGCCGACATGGATCTCCTTGCTGTCCTGCATCTCGTCTGAGGCGGAAGTAACAAGCATGGTGGGTCAGGTCTGCTTTGTCTTACATGCCATGTATTGTACGCACGAACTATAATTGACAGAGAAACCTCGCTAGGTACTGTGCGCAATCAACCACCTCCTGTCTCTACCGACAGATCTTCGAATCCTGAGTATTCGTCTTTCCATGTTCGGCCTAGTCAAGCTAAGTATGCGTCCCAAGTGCCTCAGTTGGAACTCTTCACTTTTTGTTATCCGGCTAGTTGCCTCATTTATCAGCTAATGATGAAATATGTCCTGTTAGAAAAGTGCTGGGTCCATGAAATCTTCCTGTGCTGGCCCCGCCCCATCTTGGTCGTACTGGATCTCATCCACTTCGAGTGCTTCCCTGAAAATATCCATCAAGGACTCTGTGATGCATACTATAATAGCAGCCCAAAAAAGTCTTCCTGTGACGCACGTCTACACAGGCCTGGAAGCTTTGAAAGGGATATACGGAGACCAATGCAGCATGAGAAAGAGGTTGAAGCGGGAGGCGGAAGATGAATTGGCAGCTGATATCGAAGAGTATCCTTCCGATGAGGTAGAGCAGGTGTGAGGGACCATATTCTAAGACTTTACAGCAGCACAGCGTTGAGCTAAGAGGGTGAGCAATGAAACTTGCAATCCTTGGAACGATTAAAGATTCGATCAAACAAAGAGAAAAGGCTGTGCTTCTTTTTATCTTTTCTCCACGTTTTCTCATCTTTGCCTGCTAATATGATAACCCCATTTATCACATTCGCATTCCCTCGAAAGCGATATCTTTAGGAAGCTAGATGTGAGACATCGTTGCTATGATAGGAGCACTATTGAAGTGGTTGTAAAGCAATACGCGTCTTATGATGATATCTAGTACGTCTCTGGTGCGGCGAGTTGCAAGTTCCAGCACAATCGAAAGCGTTACACCAGCGTAGCGGAATACGGTTTTTAAGACCCGCATCGGCCAGATCGTCCCCGTCGCTGTGGCCACTCTTGCCTGCGTAGACTCCATCGACTCCGGACTACGTACTACGCCCGGAGACCCGGAGCTTAGGCCCACAATATCTTCGGCCTGCGGGGATATGATTTACATTTAACGACTCTAGCCCGGAATGTTTGTCGTCGCTCATCATGATCGCGTGGGCTTGTCTCTTCTGCCAAATCGCTTGAACTGGAAGAAATAATGAGCGATTGGCCTTCAATACCCGGCGCCCTGGCTGGATTATGGATCGCGATCCAGGATATGTAACTATAGTGATCCCTTGCTTGCCAATACTGGGACCTCTTAGGCCTTCGAGGCATTGCAGCTCATTGATTCCAGGCTCTAGATCCTGAGGTGGCGCTCAATCGATTGAATAGAGGCCGGGATAATCTTCTGCGTTGCATACTCTTCGGTGTTGCGAGAGACAAAGACGTAAGCAGGATCATTGGTAGACTAAGGTGTTGAACGTTGACACACTCAGTCCACTCCTGACTGCCCGCAACTTCTCACATGATATGGAGTTGCCATGCGACTTCCGGACTCGACCTCGGTGAAGGACAAATTTACGCTACAGTCGGTCACTCTGGGCAAGAGGGATGAGCAAAACCCATACACGGCAGAACTGGCCGCCATGGCAGAGGGCTTGCGAGGGGTGCCACACTCCTTCAGGCAACGAGTGGTAGTAGTGTTCACGAGTAACAACGGTGCTGCACTGAGTATGAAACGACCGAGGCAACAGTCGGGTCAGCAAGAGATTGCAGATTTCTATGCGTCTGTGGTCCAGCTTGAAAGAAGAAAATCAAGATCATCATCGTCTAGAGGGCGCAGGAAGACACGGAAGACCGAGAAAACAACGAAGAGAACGAAGATACCAACGACAATACTGGCCACGGTGCAATCCACGGTACCGCGGCTTTACAGCAGCTGGCCAAAGAAGCAGCCCGCAAAGCGACTCTCGCAGGCTGTCCACCTCGCGTGAAGCCGTTTCGAGCCAAGTCGACCACGCTGAACAATGCCAGAAAGAAACTCGGTGGCACAGAGGCACTGCCTGGTACTATCGGCGCATTCTCAAAACGGATCGATAGAGCATTGCCAGGAGGCCATACCCGACTATTGTATGATGCACGGTCATGGAGGGAAGCTAGTATTCTGGTCCAGCTACGGGCAGGAATGGCGAGACTCAACTACTACCTGGCCCAGATCGGCGCGGTCACTTCGCCAGACTCTGATTAATCGCCCTTGTTCGTCCAAAATTGGATCTTCTCTGCGAGAACGAGAAGGTAACTACACCGGCATCGTTACAGTACCATGGTTTTGCTTGTAAAATCAGACTCGAGATCTAAGAGGAGACAAATAGATCCGCTTCAAATGATACGGTTCCTACGCGACAGCCCAAGTTCCCTCAAAATTCGAAGTACTTATAAGTTACACTCACCCACATGTTGGAGAAAATGATTACATGAAGATCAAAGCATCACACAGCATGGCTCCTACCAGGCCTCGTTCCCATTGCCCAGTAGTGGCAAGTCATTGTCTTCGGAATGCGAAGCAAAGGTTAACGACTCACCCCCGTCTTACTGATAAGAAGAAGGAAGAGATTGAGAAGAGGATGCTAGGGTCAGACAAGGACAGACTGGCAGAACTCATGGGAAGAATGGTGCTTGACAGCGCTTCAGAAGATGCTGCAGCAGAAACTGCAAGAACCGTGCGTATCAAGCCACAAAATCTTCTCATCTTGTATCTTGCAAATTCGCAGGCCTGAATAATTTTAAAAAAGGAAACAAAAACAAGTCAACAAGACTTTCACACGACAACTTGTCGACCAATCAACATTTGACAACACCCGATCGATTAGTAGTTATTACATCTCGCTGGATCTTTCGAAATATCACTAAAAACACCCTTGTTTGTTACTGGGGAGATATATGCTGTGTCTTGTCGTTATAGATGAACACTGTTGAGCCATGACTGGTGACTGTTGAACATCAGTGGGTCTACTTCCGCGAAAAGGACTAGGTTAAAAATGCGAATGCTTAGGTCGGACGGTTAATTTCAAAAATATGCCACCCTTCGGATGCAATTACGACACGTCGGTGTACATGATCTTGTGCTCCGTAATGAACGAGAAACCAGTCCTTCATTCTTATCATTGAATACGCCGTGCGCCTATGTTCATAGCCATTGCCTCATCAGAAGACATGCTTTTTTCTAGAGCCGGACGCAGCCGGATGCAGTCGGATTTTCGTTGTCAAGGTCAAGATCATACAACTTACCAGTGAATACACTTTCTGCAATCTTTCATCAGAGAAAGGTTCATGATAGAAGGTGGTATTTCTTGTTGCAAGTGCTGCACACCTATTGTTCCTCCATCTCTTATATAATCCGACCCTATTTAACTACCTGGCGGGGCTTGACCTCACATCCTGCTCTCCATGTTCATAGATGTAGTCAGAGACAACGCAAACCATTGCCAAACGCACTAGACAGGCTAGTTGACTAGTATCTCGCTTTCCTCGCACACACGAATGCTGCCTATTATCAGAGACTAGAGGTGACTTTGCGTTGTAGGCGAGAAACTCACGTCACAAAGTTCCGTCAATGATTGATCCACCTTGAGGGACTCACCAAATAGTGCCGACTGCGACTGTTCCATGGATCTTTTCCGCAACACGCGGGGACTTTTGTGCAACAGTTGCATCAGAATTGATTCAAGGGAATCTAAAATGTCCCTGTCTCCTGAAGCTGGGTCCTTGTCGGTATAGGTCGAACTCACTGCAAATTTGTCAGCTTTAGTCCGTCTTGCAAATGCAACTCTTTCCGAGAAACATCTTTTGGAAGCTTTTTACTGATTTTTATAACCCCATCATGTGTCAAAAGGATCATCTGAGGAGTCAAAGTCGTCAGACGAAACCCACTCTTCTCAATGTAAGTTAGAGCGTCAAGGATCTGAGGGAGATTAGCTGAGACCTTTCCCAAGGTGCTTCAAGACTGACCTGTCCCGCAATACATCCTATGTCGTCATCAGAAGGATATGCGAGCGAGCGGATGAGCATGTCAAGACCGACTGCCACCTCCTCATAGACAACGACGCAAGCGTCGTTAGTTATGCAGCTCTCAATCGCTGTGACTATGTTGCCGTGTCGTAATCGTCGACACCAGTGTATCATTTGCGTTGCGTCTCGGGCAGGATAATATCTCAGGTGGACGAACGTCACAGGCTTAGCCCTTGTCGCCGCCACATCATAAGACGCGTGTTGCTTTGCAACCACTTCCACAGCGCTCCTATCATGACAGCATTGTTCCATATCTAGCTTCCTGAAGATATTGTCTTCGAGTGCGTGCAAAAACGTGATAGATTAGATTACCTTATGATCAGAAAACGAGAAAAAAGAACAAAAAGAAGCACCACTTTTTCTCCTTATTGAGTCAAATCTCTAATCATTCCAAGGATTCCCAAGTTCATCACACACCCACTGTATTCAATGATATTGCTGTTGTAGAGTATTAGAATATGGCCCCTCACACCTGTTCTGTCTGATCGAAAGAATACCCTTTGACATCAGCTTCCAATTCGCCTTCCGCCTTCCGTTTCAAGCTCTTTCTCATGCTATATTGATCTTCGCATATCCCTTTCAAAACTTCCAGACCTGGATGGAGGTGCGTTACATGAAGACTTGTTGGACCAGACGCCACGTCGGTGCGAGGAAACGACGATCGGCAGAACAAGCAGTGCTCGTACAACAAGGTCTCTCTTTCGGAACTATATACATGTTACAGAGCTTCCCTGACTTTCGTGGTTGAGTGTCCCAAACTATCGGGACATGACCATTGCAACATATGTCATATCGATCATACACGCTGAAAGCACTTTCACAGATAATTATATGTACATCTGTCTCTTCCCTTGTTGGCACACGCAGATTCTCCATTTCCGACGCTGGGCCGAATATCCATTTTCAGATCTACGCACATAGCCTCCCTTGTTCCTTTTAGAACGGTACGTTGAATATAGATCTGTGTACTGTACGAATGTAGTTTACTGAAATTTTAGGCGGCCGAGTTATTACGCTACAGCAACAGAAGATGAATGAGATTTGGGACCGTGTTGTTCGAGCTTTCGGCGTTCGAGAGTCTTTGAAGCCATTTTTGCTACGGGTCTGTGCGGGCGATCGTTTGAACGGTATTGTAGCTCCAGCCGAGATAATGCCCTCCCCCCAGAAATGCTAACATATCCTAGGCGTTCTTGATCCTGTCGACCCTCCTCATTGTCAGACGCCATCTACCTAATCCAGAATCTTGAAGCCGCCCGTCCTGTCCTTCCACAACCCTTCAGGATCCAACTGATCCCGTACACTCTTCGCCAAGTCTTGCTTCTCGCTTCGAAGCCGGCCAAAATAATCCTGTCTGTAGAACCCATCATTCATGAAAATAGGTAGATAGACATCAGACTCCAGCTTTCCGGCCGCCTGGAACTGTCTCACGTCCGCCGCTAGCCCATTGTAGGTGTCCTGCATGGTCTGGTCCACCGTGGGATATTGGTCATTGAACAAGAAACTGTAATCCAGCTCCATGATGATGCGGTCAACGTCATCATCAAAATCCAGCATATCGCCACCACTGGCGCGTGCCAGCTGAGCAATGCGCTTGGGCAGCGGCTGGAACGCAATGCTGGCAATCAGCCCCGGCACCATGGAGGCCGAGTTGCTCACGTTGACCCAAGTGTCATAGTAGGCACCCAGAACCTCGGCTCCGTTGGCTTCGCTGGGTAGCGGCGTCGACTCGGTGCCAATGGTATAGACGCTGCCCTTGACCACGGCCCAGTTGTTGCCGCTGACCAGCTCATTCATGCTCTGCGTCTTGGTCGTGTCGATCGTGTGGGCAATGGAAGTGAAGTTGTCAAACACGCCGGCCGGGACCTCTGGTCCGTTGTAGTACAGAAACAAGATCCAAATGTCGAGAAGCGTGCCCAAGGTTCGCTCTGCAGTGAGGATGATGGCGGCCTTCTCGTCCGGGTAGTACTCAGTAAAGTCGCGAAGGGCGGCCAGAAGCTTGGGAGTTGTATCGTCGTTTGCGTCGAACCACAGATTGCCACCCCATACTTGGCCTTGCGGGTGTGCCTCAAGCACGAAGGAAGTCACGATTCCGTAAATACTTCCGCTGCCCTTGAGTGCCAGGAAGATATCTGGGTAGGTGTCCTCTGTCACGGTAAGAACGGTAGCATTGGCCAGGACGAGTGTATACTCGATGATGTTGTTCGCTGCCCATCCGTACTCAGTGCTCATAAAACTCAAGCCGCCTATCATGTTCCCGTCAGCGAATCCTTCCTCGGATAGATAAATAAATCCAATGTGCTCACCTCCAAGCAGGTAACCACCAACGCCTACATTGCCTATGCGACCTCCGACAGCTGTGTACCCGGTACCGTCCAACGCAGCCGAGATGTCATCCCAGCGGTTGCCCGGTCCGACTCTGACAGTCTCGGTGGCATTATCCAGTGCGATCTCGTTGAGCAGCTTGGTTGAAATCAGGGGGCCTCCGTCCACACTAGCAAAGTAGTTGTTGGGATTATGACCACCAGACTTGATAGCAAAGGTTTCATTATTGGTCAGCAATACCTGAACGATCTGGGCAACCTCTTCGGTCGTAGTGGGCGTCAATATACACGCTGGCTTGAGGTCTCCGCAAGACGTTGACCAATATTCCGTCTGCGCTGTGGTGTACTCGAGCGAAAGCGGCTGGTCAATGGTAATATTTGGATACAGGCTGGCGACCTGATCGCAGGTCTCGGAAGCAGCGGCAGCAGCGATGAAAGAGGCCAAAGAGGCAATGGTTTTGACAGGGTAACGAGCCATAATGAGCGACTGGAGAGCGACTGTACCGCCACAGCTGGATGAGTGCTGCTGGCTGTTCCGGCCGGGAGTATGTGAGGAACCAAGAGAGACAGGCAGATCTATTCACAAGGGAGTATCGGTGTGATTCTCTTCATATGTAGGTAGGCCCTCCTTTCCATGTGTTCGTGCCATACTTCTTCACAATCCGCAACCCCACGTTCCGCCATACCCAGGAGTAGCGTTCGTTAGGCCGCATGGCCATTGCCAGGATCAACGTCCTAGAGACTGTATGCCAGGCCGCTCAGGAACCCGAATACGTAGGCGAGATCCAGATCATCGAAGCACAGCCCGCATTCATACCTATTCGAGAGCCTAAATTTGTGTTTCCCCTTGCCTCTAAGCATACGACCGCTTTGGTAAGAATACTGGCTCGCCCAAAGCTTCCAGGATCCCAAATGGGCAACAATTGTCGGTCTTGACTTGACAGGCCATTCCTCATCCACTTTGAGCATCGAGAGAACATGAAGAACGGCCCAGTACTAATTATGGGGAAACATGGATCGCGAGATCATACTCACATGCTACTTTCCTGCCCGCTGCTCCGCCAGCCCTCCATTTGGCTTGGAAACGGCTTGACTTTGGATGATCCCCGCTGACAGAAGACCCGTTACATTTCCTTCTTCAATCATAAAATACGGGGATTGTCACATTTGTGGGTAGTATTATAATGACGCACGATGTACGGACACCCGGGAAAAGGGTGGCCCGAAACGGCCTTGGCCACGGAAAAACATGACCATCTTTGACAGGTGCTTTTGACTATGCAATTACTATGAGAATCTGTCTCGGCTCGTTAAATTGTTACAGATGCCGAGGACCAAAATACTGGGCGATCAGTAGTGGGGGTGGGTGGACTCTGAACTGGGGTGAGTGAGGTTCTTTCACAAGCGAGATTGTTCCGGACAACAATAGGCGGCCATGGCACTCCACGACGATAAGAAATATTGAAAGATTTATGGGCTTCTGCGGGGACATGTTCAACATGCCAAGCCCAGAACGCCGAGCAGCGAGTCAAGTTTGAAGTTGCGCCGACTGGACTGGCAATAGCAACAGCCACGTGAAATGCCACGATGAGGCTTATTGAGATAAGATCTCCGTACTGACACTAATGGAATACAAATAGACCATAATCACAAGCGGCAGAAATATGGCCATGTTCCTCGGAAATCGACCGGCTGGAGGGCACATACTACACTACAATAGACTCGGATACCTTAATCCTTTTGCTATGTGAAAGATGCACGTCCAACGAGGTTCGTTAATTAGTGAAATGTATCTGGTATGCGGACCTGGCGGGCGGCTTCAAAGTCCAGGCTCTAGGTTGTTTAGGTATCATCTTAGTGGGCCTGGTGCAAGCATTTGGCAGGCCTTCCTACTGTAGCTGCTGCTAGCCTCGTCCAGCGTTGCTTTCTCTGCCATGAATCACGGAAGCAAGATTGATTTGGGCAAGTTCTGGCCATCTGCTATGCGTCCATATCCCCTGAGAACACAAATGGATGGTTATAATTGTTTGGCACCTATTACTTTTATTTTGCCTCCTATCAGCTGACGGGCTGTGCTGCCATGAACCGAGCAAGAGTATCACAAAGATGCCCGAAAGCGGCGACACAGCGATGCTGGGTTACCCGACTACGTTTCAAAGTGAAGTGAGATTTCTCCCGTTTGGACACCTTGCAAGCCAGCGCGCCACCATGGGATAGGCGCCGGCGCTTCATTTTGACGTGATTCTCGCGGGTTTTCTAGGTGTTCGAAAAATGTCTTGGCATATCTACCGGCTATGAGGAAAGGACTGGATCTCATGTCGCATCGTGATTGATGAAAGGGGCACTTGTCCGCACACATGATAAGTGGAAGAGGAGCAGCCTGGCCGTAGCGTCGAGATGACTGCTCTGGGCTTCTCTTATCGGATGTGGATACTCCATTTAGTGGAAACACCAGGTTTATGACGTTGGTCGTAGCTCGCCCAGTGGTGTGATTATCGCTTCAATAAGGAATAAGAGGAGGCAGACGGAGACTATAGGCTGCCAATAGTAGTTACAAGGCTTGCAGCAGGAGAGATCATAGGTCCTATAAGGAAGATAGTAGATAATACGCCTTCTCTGGTATCATAATAATGGAGGTAGGAGGTGGGTACCATTGAACAGCTAGATACTAAAAAAAAAATAGTCACCTGCTAAAACAATGCCGGGCACTGACTGGCTGCACTTCAGACGATCGATCCATTTCTCTCAAAGACCTGTCCATGTGTGTATGCGGCCCGTGCTACCTAGGTTAGGCCAGTGGACCAAAAGAAAAACCTAGAGAAGCAGTTCTACTAGTTCTTGTTTATTACTACAGACACTTCCCCTTCTCTCACCTCTTAGAAGGTCTGTTTCACCCTACACACGACCCTGTCCTCAACAACCTCCTACCATTCCCTCCCTTTCGTTCGCTTAAACCTTGCCTCGACCAATAAGACTGAACGGTTGTTTCAACACAACAATTGACATTCAGGCCACGACAAAGCTGGACCACAGACAATTATGGCTTTTCGGTGCCTCAAAGGAAAGAAAACCAGCATCAACAAGAGCTAGGAGCGAAGGACATTAAAAGTTTGGGAGGTATTGCCTACACCCACTGGATTCCTCTGCTCAACATCAACTCTGTTGCCAGCCAAGGTGCAAGCATTCGAATTTGGTACGAAGCCAATCTCGGAGCACCTGTCTGTCCACACGAACATCATTGCAGGTGGTCACTCGGAATCATTCAATCACAGCCAACAGTTCTACGGATGTCCTGCTGAAGACGAAAACCATCCCAATTCTCTCCATCCGACTAGGAGATCTGACGAAGTCCTGATTTCACCATGGCTTTTGACAAGGAGGGAAACTTGGAATGGGTCGATGTAAGTCAAGCTCATACGTTCTTCTTCACCTACATAGCACACAAGTTACACAAATTCCGACACAAATTCCGACACAAATTCCGACACAAACTCCGATTGCGTAGTGTCAATGAGGAGCATGGTTCGGGATCCGGCGATACAACACCAATTACCAGGCCTGTCCATTGGCACGTTTTTCTGGGCGGAGCGAGCAACAGGCAACGACTGGTTTCTTCGTTTTCTATGGGGAGCGATATGCGCCTTCAATCCCACCAGGCAGGTCTACGGCGCATGGCCTAGGTCGAGACATGCGCCAATTCAGCCACCGCGGCGTTCAACGAGCGCTTACCGTCGATGGTGATGCAAAACAATAGGAAACCCCACGAAAATCGGTACCACCACCACCTTCAGACAAGGTCTCGGGTAATTGGGATCGATATCGACTTTCAGCGCCGAACAACCCAGAAACTGGCTTTTTAGCTATCTGATAGTGGTTCGGTTCGGTTCCTCGGAACGCCCATCCATCTTGGATCTAAGCGACTCGCGTCAGACCGCCAACTTTTAAGCTTACAACAAGAAGTCCAATAGCGTGGTGAAGGACTGGAAGCCCCCCCTGGAGAAAGGCCCTCAAACTGCCGGCGACCGTTGACCCACGGGCGATCCAATCGCGCCCCCCACGACCGCAACGGCTAAACAGCAATAGTGGCGCGACACCCATGAACCTCTTCGTCATCGCTTATCTCCTGTTGAATCCGTGACCTTTGCCAAAAGCTAACCTTCTGTGACTATAGGACCTTCGTGGTCTCGCATCCTCTTTGGTCGTCTCTACGCACATTGCCCGCGCTTTTGATGGTGATCTCTTCTCGCCCGCGTCTGCTGCAGATGCTGCACCTCGATTGCTGCAGCTTCCCTTTCTCAGAATCCTCGTTCAAGGTCGCATTACTGTCTCCATCTTTGCCTTTGTCACTGGCTATGTCTGCATGCTCAAGCCCGTCAAGCTGTCCCGCCAGGGAAACCAGGAAAATGCCTTCACTTCCATCTCCAAGTCCGCTCTTCGCAGAATTCCCCGTCTGATCATTCCTACCACGTTGGCTGCATGCATCATCTGGGTCATGGCACAGCTTGGCTTTTTCCTCGTGGCCAAGCACAGCGACTGCTGGTGGTGTGGCGCAACTGCACCTGATCAGGTACCCCGCCTGGGCGATGCGCTCCACAGTCTGGTCTACAACATCATCACCACTTGGACCCATGGCAGAAACAGCTACGATAGAAATCAATGGACACTGCTTCCTCTGCTAAAGGGCAGTTTCTGGTCTATGTCTTCATCATGGGTACATGCAGCCTAGATATCGCATACTAGCTTCCCTCGCCATCTATGCCTATTTCTGGATCGCATCCGATTGTGAGTATTTTCTTCTTTCCATATAACCTATCATATATATAGAGCTATTCCTCAATACTAACCTACTGCATCCCCAGCTGCGTTTAGAATGCAACTCTTCTAGGGTGTTTTCATATGCGACTTGCAAAACTTGCCCTCGGCCAATGACTTCATTATGAACCGTCCCCGCATCTCCAAGGTGCTCGCCATCTTCTTCTTAATTATTAGCTGCTTCATCTCTTCTTACCCAAAAGGCCACCCCGAGTGGCAATCCTGGTCTGCATGGCAGTTCTCGATCCTAAAGAGCATCCTGCCCAATGATCCCGACTTCCCTCGCTTTGGCTCCGGCATTGGACTTAAGTTAATTACTCTCGACATCCACTTTAGCCCTTTCATCAAGGACGTTCTCTCGAGCAAATACCTGCTCTGGCTTGGAAAGCAATCCTTTGCTATCTACCTGCTGCATGGACTCCTCCGCTGGCTATTATGCTGGATAATCTACGGTGCCCGCTTGCCCGCTGACATTGTCAACGATGCCGGCGAGACGATATCTGGCAAGCTGATTTTCCCCGGTGCTTGGAAGTTGATACTGTGTCTCCCAGTCTGGCTCCCCCTCAACTATGCAGTGGCCAACCTGTGGATAACATACGTGGACCCGTGGTGTGCGCAGCTAACGGAGCAAGTCGTCGGCCACGTCAAGGAGAATTACGACGAGAAAGAGGGCGGTGTCTTGCTGCCGTGATAGAGATGCGATGCAGCCGTTCAGCCCGTCTCGAGTCGCACAGAGACACCAACTCCGCTGGAAGATCCCGGAATCAGTAGTTCTGATGATCGAAAGCCGTTGTTGAACCTGGTCGACTAGGCCCTTCCGTGCCAGAGAATATGAGATATCGACCACGCCCCTCGTTTCCAGGCAGATGCTGGTGGAACACGAGCGACAACCTACCGGGAGATCGTACAGCTGCTACTCGACAGCAAGGCCGACGTCAACGCGCAGGGCGGAGAATACGGCAATGCTCTATGCGCGGCTTCATCTGGAGGACACCAGGAAATTGTGAAAGTCCTGGTCGATAACGGGGCCCACGTCAATGCCCAGGGCGGAAAGTACGGCAACGCTGTCTATATTGCATTTTTAGTAGGTCACGAAAGAATGGTACAACTACTGCTGGACAACAAGGCCGACTGGTCATTTTGCGCCCCTGATAGATTCATTCCATTCACGAACGCTTCATATAACGGACACCTGAATGTCGTTAAGTTGCTGCTTCAAGCAGGTGCCGACTTCAGCACCCCGGACATGAACGGATGGACGCCGCTTTGTGTTGCATCAAGCCGTGGACACGTTGAGATCGTCGAGGCTCTTATTACTATAGGGGCACATGACATAGATACTCGTGGCATAAACGGTCGTACTGCGTTAGCATAGGCTGCGAAGATAGGCCACACATACATCGTTAAGCTTCTTATCAGAAAAGGGGCAGACACCTTGACGTCAGATTTGTATGGAGCAACTTCTTTCTTTTTGGCTGCCCAAAATGGTCATCTGGAGGCTCTTCAGACATTGTTTGGACATAATTATGCCTGAGACGTACGAGATAATCTATTGTCGGATGCTTTGCAGATCTCAATCTTGGCCGGGCATCCTCGTATTGAGACATATCTGGTCTCCGTTGGTGCTCTCATTCCTGACGACATCTTCGGCTTCAATGCTTATCTTTCAGATATGAGGACTCCTACACGATGAGGGGAGGCTGAGTTTCATCAAACGATATAGCACAAGCGTTAGCTGCTTCGAGTCAGCTTCGCCATGTTCGAGATTAATGTCAACTCGGACGATCCCGGTAAACGGCTATTTGCGCAACAACTAGCAGGATTGAATTGATGGTTGAAGATACAATGCTGTATACGTGACAGACCGCCGCTTTTGTCTTTTCTACGCTATTGACGATATCTTTTTATATTTATCTTTCAGCCATTTTACTTGATCGACTGAAGTCACCCATCTAACTTCAATTTTGGGTGTCGTCAAACTTCCCTTCTATTCCTTATATCTTTGCAAAGGAGAATCCAGGGAATGCGTTCAATATATAGTGAATAGTATATAATCGTGGAATTTCGAAGAAGCTGGTGCTTTTCTCAAATTTTGATTTCTAAGAATAAGCTTCACTTGAGATTCTCTTCTTGTCGGGTGCTGGACGCCACATATAAGCAACAAATGCACGGACCTCAGCCGCTGACTGCGAGCGATTTGGTCGGCCCTCGACCTATATATCTTCACTAAATTCGCTTGCTCTCGCTTGATTCTGATAATAATATAGTTTTTGAATCTCATCTCCTATTCAACTCAGCTGAATAATTGTGCAATGAATACTGACTACGCTAAGTTTAGTTTTGTTAGTTAGTGAAACCGCCAGGTATTTTGCCGCCTGCGTCAAACCTTTAGTTTGCGACCTCATTCGTGACACTGGGGATGCAATAATTACAGTAAACCATTGGGCTGGCAGTAGTCTGTCACATTGAAATATCCCTCTAGGATCTAAGTCTACGAAGATGCACCGTCGTAAGAATACAAACGTTTGTTGGCGCAAGAAGGCACTCTGCGGGGCTGACACCTGGGAACCAGACCCCCAAAACTAGCCACTATTGCCGGCTGTGGGCAAGTGCTGCCAAGGCTACAGGCTGAAGAAGTCTGTCGGCTTTGGCTGAGCAAGTGTTTAGCTGATTATGGCGACGCCCGGTCACCTTTTCGAAGAAATAATTAAAAGACACTCTTCTGCACACTTTCGGACCGTGAACGCGACGTTCGAGAAGTGATGAGCTGTGTTTGGGACGTCTCATTTGGGGTTGAGCGGTTGTGTTTTGGTACATTTCCTAGTTGCGTCGTGGATCGTTTCCTTGTTGACACAGATAACCACGTTCGCAGATTTGATTGGATTAAAGTTATGCTCAGTCAACGCTACCGAGCGTATCTACAACTGTCACATAACGCTCAAATGCCGGTATCCCCACCTAGAGTTCTAGATGGGAAGCCACCCCACCACTAGCGCGGTGCAAGAGCTACACTCCACTTTCACCAGGTAGACATGTCCTGTGACGGCCCGCCCAATAGTCGCATCGGTGACGATTTGATGACTGTACATTCCTATGATTTTTCCGGTTTCTTTCACACGTTCTTTTTTGTGTTCGAGTCGGTAGTCGTGGCATTGAACAGAAGTGTAAAAAAACAGTATGGATGCAGCATGACTGTAGTGGATGCTGCCGGGCTTAACTATTTTAGGCATAGATCTAGCTGTTTCGTATGCAGCCACTCTCTTTGGGGAAGAGAAGCGGGGGTTGGCCGGGCCAAAAAGACCTGATTCGTGGTGCAACAACAGCCCGGAAATTGCTAATCTTATGCGTGCCCCAAAAGATCAGCCAGCTTCAAAGAGATGGTGGGTTGGAGCCGGATCTGGTTTGCCAATCAGTTTGGCCCATCTTCACCCCTTTGCAAGGCATTTACTCGAGAGCCATGGTTTGCAGAGAAGCGGGGCTTGACACCGAGGAGATCCCATCCGCTTTGACGAGTAGCACAGCCATTGAATACATCTTTGCCAGCTTAGATATTTTACTTACAATCTCTGATTGGACGCGCCCAGTCACAAACAAACTTCGTGCATCCGATGCGTGATCTTACCCGCTGTAATATTTCTCGTAGTTACAACGAAGGATTGAATCATACTTCAACAGCTTGGAAGTCGACGATTCCATGCATCCCCCAAAGGATCGTTGAGTGGCACGAACACAGGATTACTATGGCAATGCTCCAAAGAGATGGTGGTCTGACCGAATCTGATTTGCCGACGTTTCAGCTGGGCGCAACGTACACTGCAAGCCCCTTTTTCAGTCCTACAGGCTGCTTCATATGGAGGACACCAGGACATCGTACAGCTGCTGCTCGATGAAAAAGCCGACATTAATGCCTAGGGCGGATACTACGGCAACGCTCTACAGGCTGCTCCATTTGAAGGAGACCAGGACATCGTGCAGCTGCTGGTCGACAACGGGGCCGACTGGACGGTGGCAAACGAAAATGGAGCAACACCATTGATTTCTGCTCCAGAGAATGGACACGTCGAAATAGTCAAAATGCTGCTCGACAAAGGCGCCGACTGGACCGTCGCAGATAGGCACAGATGGACGCCGCTATATGCTGCTTCTACGAACGGGGCATATGGCTTTATGTGATCAACCGTAGGCCCATTCAGCTTTTATAGCTTACTAGATATGCACAAGAAATTGGTTCTCCTCGGTATTGAAACTACCCATGGTCGGCAGACGTAGCACAGCTACCCATTTGAGGAATCCGTGGTGAATATACTAACTATTGTACGGTACAAGCCGATCATGCGGTACAAGCCGATAATGCCCACCTACGCCCGTGACAGTGAGATACGAATACGAGTATTCCTTACTTCCATTCCTTTCCTCGAGGCCAGATTCCTTGCTTTCCAGGCGACAAAATTCCCCGCGGATCGAGCGCATCCTGTCGCAAAAATTAACAACAGCCCTGTTTAACAATTAAATCACATACCTTGACAGTTTGGAGAAGTCTCTTGTAAGCATGGTTATTGAAGTTGTAATGATCTTGCAAGATATCTGCACATAAATATTAGTACTCTCTGAAATATACGCAATACTCAAGGACTACGCGATCTTACCCATCTGTCTTAGATGTGCCCGATAATTCGTAAGTAGATACTCTCGTGACTTCTTTTCCAACGCATCCATTAATCGGTTGACGCGTCGGGCTTGCCCTTCGTCATCGCTATTGTACATCGTTTGATGAATAGCGATAAAGTGCCTCCGAAATACATGGCCTCCAAGCAAGAAATCAAAATCGTGCTCCCCATAGAGGGACTTTGCTGCTTGAAGCCAATCTTTAACAAGCCTGCCATTGAACGGCAGAAGAGGAGCGAAATCAGAGTGGGCGCCGTGTCCGGAGCCATCGTCTGGAAGAGCATAGTTGATCATGCCGGCTTTCCAAACCGTTGCAACACCTACTGATTCCCCCTTTACCGTAACCGACTCAATCACCTTCGGATCCAAGGGTTGATCAGCCTCGCCTTCGAAGAGTCGATGGTCTAGTCGCGCTGTAGGGCACCATTTAGAAATCACTTCTTGTGACTTCTTTAGTCTCGCCAGGACCATCTCTTTTGTCCCGTAGAAATCAAAATTGCAACTCCAGTAAGCAAGCCCGTATTTTCGTTTTATCTCTTCGATGGCTTCCTCCCCCAGAGCGCCATCGCTTTGTTGGAACTCGCTTCTCTTTGCAACACCTTGGCTTAACGCGCTCGCGATCACGTTGGACAGAAGAGGGTCATTCTGAATGATCTCGTCCCTCCGAAGTTCTGCCATGGCTTCCAGAAGTTCCTCGATATCCTCGAAATCATGGACATGAACCACGACATTCATATATGACTCCGGGCGTGGCTGCAACCAGATGGCTAATTTAGTAACAATTCCAAGGTTGCTTTGGACAAAGAGACCTTCAACTGAAGGGCCAAAACTTTGTCGGCTTACTGGGCCGGTCGGTGCTCCTTCGGCTGCCCATTGACCAGTGCGCACCAGATCACCATTCGCGAGCACCGCCTCCACACCACACATATGCTCATAATGACAACCAACCATATTATACCCAAATCCGCGATCGAGCGTCTGTTCATTAGTAATACGAATTCCTGAAAGTATGGGCAAGCTTACATTTCCAACAACGCTCCCCCAGGAGATGAAAGGTACACTAGGCCACAGGGATGGCGCTGTATCCATGCAATACTGTGACAGATCCCAGAAGGTAACTCCTGGCTCTACCACGGCGTATCCGAGCTTTTCATTCACTTCAAGAATATGAGACATTCTGTATAGCGAGAGCACGACTGAACCTTTCAGGCGAGGTGCAGCACCTCCGTAGCCGAGGTTCTTCCCTCGCGAGCATGTCCACAATGGGATGCTATGCTTATTGGCTACTTCAAGAATGGCCTGGATTTCAGCGATGTTTGCAGGGCTATATTCGTGTCAATCAATGTCTTAAGACGACCTTATTATTGCCACGATTCGATTCTACTTACCACACGGCAGCAGATGGAGTAAATTGATTATTTGGCGTGAACGGGTCCGTAAAGTTGAGCAAGTCATCCCCAGTCTTCGTGTTTCCAGTTCCAACAATGGATCTGAAAGCATCGAGGACCCTTTGGAAGCTGTCATTTGAAACTCCTGGAGGGAGGACTCGCTCAAGACTTTGGCGCCCTTCCACAAAGGTGGATGCGTGAAGATTCTGGATTTCTGGCTCTTTGTAGAACTGCATACTGCTAAGTCTGTTCACGGATTGGTTCTTGGAACAGAATCAAGACGAGCAGGATCCTTTCTGTATCTTTCCTCCCTAGTGCTAGAACCTGGTATTTCTCCAAGAAGTCCCAAGCCATTCGGGTTTCGCGTTGTTTCAGAGCCGCTTACATAAGCGGAGGAATCACGCTTAGTAGCCCCGGACTACGGACTATAAGTCAACTGAAACTTCAACAAGGATGCTATAGCCTGCTTATATAAGCGGAGGATGTACGCTTAGCAGTCCCCGAGCTCGTTTAACGGATTATAAGTCAACCCCGAATAAAGCCAGGAACAGTTCCGGAACATCTTAAGCTTCTACAGAGTGCTATAGCCCACTTCAATATACGGAGGATTTACATTAAATTTGACGAACTTATCCACAAGAAATAACTCAAAGATTGGACAAATATACTTAAAGGCTTATCTGTGAAGCCTATATACCATTGAGAAGCAACCTAAGATTCTTGATCAATTCCAGCAACCAGTTACTCGTCTTTCATCAACTTCACTTTCTACCAGCATTGTTAAATTTCTACGTGCTGCTATGGAACTTCTAGGAAAACTGGTCGTGATTACTGGAGCAGCGCGCGGAATTGGAGAAGCTTCAGCAAAGGAGTACGCCAGGCAGGGAGCACGCGTCGTCCTCCTCGATATACAACTGTCGCCGCAAGAGGAGATTGCAAATCAGATACGAAGTGATGGTCTAGCGGCTTGGGCCTTTAAATGCGATGTCTCTGATGACATGGAAGTGGCCAATGTGGCAAAAGTCATCAAGCAGGAAATTGGTGTGCCGGATATCGTCGTCAACAACGCAGTCATGATCCAGACAGGATCAGCTCTCAACGCCGATATTGAAAGTGTTCGGCGTCAATTGGACATCAATGTCTTGGGTTATCTTCGAATTGCCCGAGCGTTTCTGCCGGAAATGATCAAGCGTGGCAGTGGACTCATCGCGAATACAGCTTCTCCCAACGGGCTCAATCCTCCACCAATGGTATCGGGCAATATGTTTTCGTACTGCTTGTCCAAGGCTGGCACGATTTCCCTTAGTCAATGCATGGCTGTATCGCTCCAGACTACCGGTGTGAGGGTCTGTATACTCGTGCCGGACGTGACGTATACCAAGTCTGTGGAAGAACTCCAAGGAACAGCTCCGGATATGTTTCATCAGGGGTTCAAGCAATTTATCAACACAAGCAGCACACCAGCCGACGCCGCTGCTAGGAAACTTGTGGAGGGCGTAAAGACGGGGAAATTCTTTGTCAATGCGTACTTTGATGGTTATGAACAATCCTTAAAAGCTTGGGTGGACGGCGAGTTGGACCCAACTATCGACTGGATCACGAAAACGCAGAACGAATTGAGCTGATGCAATGGTGGTTGCTTCCAAACTATGTCCCTAGATCTGACACGAAATAAAAATTCTATGCTTTAAAACTTTAGAGCCCACACTGCAACGACGTGAGTTTTCGGTGCTAAACTCGCCAATGTTCTTACCATATATCTTGGGATGTTTGTCCCGTTCAGATCCACCACCGATGGAGCCTCCGGGCATCTCCGTGGTGACAAGCCGATGAGTCAGCGGCTCCCTACACTACAAGATGCAGAATGCTGGAGGGATAGTACGAAACTTTTCTCGGGCCCTACTTGAAGCCCGAGATCTGCGACCTTTCTGAACATGACCCAGATACGAGATTCTCAATTTCAAGATTTGGACCCTTCAAAACTATAAATTGAGCAAAGCAAGCTACAATATTCTTATAATCTTATGCATCTGTTTCAAAATTCAGCAATTTGTCATAAACTACAAATCCGCGCAGTTTCCTTACTTCGCTTATTTCACCCGTTCCTTCGCAATACTTTATAAACATGTCAGACTTTACAAAAATCGGGAAGACGACCAACGATGAGCAGGACTGGGATGTTATTGTTGTCGGCTCTGGCCACAACGGACTCACTGCTGCAGCCTATCTAGCAATGGCTGGAAAACGCGTCCTCGTGCTTGAGCGCCAACATTACCCCGGCGGCGGCGTCGCTAGTCTTGAAATGGCTGAGCCAGATTTCAACAGCGAAAGGCACAGTGCCATCCACAGTCTAATTCAGGCCAACCCCATGCTCACGAACGATGAGCTTGGACTATTTTCGCGCTTCGGGCTGCGGTACCGTGAGCTGGACCCTACTTATGCCATTATTTTCGAGGAAGGCTCTCTTCTCTTGTACCGAGACAGAAAGAGGACGATGGAAGAGATTAGCAAGATCTCCCCAGAGGATTCTGCCAACTACGATCGTCTTATGACGATCTCTGTGGCTATTACGAAGCTGCTTATGCCAAGTATGTTTGAGCCGCCTGCCGACGTGTCAGCCACTGTTGCCGCCAGCCCTTACGCTGCCGTAATCTCCGAAGCTGCTGCTAGCAGCACACTCGACATTATGAAAAAATACTTCAAGAATGAAACCATCACAGTTGCTATACTGCGCTATATCACTGAGATTCAGGTTGCTCACCCTACCACCAAGGGGACAGGCTTGATGGCATACCTCGGCATCGGTATTCTCGAACTGTACGGCCAATGGGTGCCCGAAGGTGGGGGCTCTGCCTTCACCCAATCTGTTATCGACTGCATTACAACCTATGGGGGTGAAGTGCGTCTGAGCACCGAAGTCACCCGGATAATCACGAAAGATGGTCGAGCTGTAGGGGTTGGCACTCGTCGAGGCCAATTGCGTGCCAGGGAAGCTGTTGTGGCTATGATCCATCCCCACAACCTCGGCCGCATGGTGAAAGGCCTAGATCCACAGCTTGTCGCAGATGCGGAGAAGACAAGAATCAGCGAATTCACACTTTTCGTGATCCACGCTGCTTTGGAGGCTCCGCTTGACTTCAAGGCAGGCGGTGCAGCAAATCGCACAATCATGAACACAGTTTGCCCAAATAGTGTGGATGAGCTAATCAAAAGCTACGACTCTATGGCACGGGGGGAGCTCCCTGAAAATATCATGATCGGCGCGTCAACTGTGTCTCTTGGTGACCCCACGCGAGCTCCAACAGGAAAGGCTTTGCTCCACGCCGTGACCATGGTGCGACCCAACTTGCCCGGAAAGGAGCTTATCGCCTGGGACGACGTGAAGGAAGAGTACGTGCAAAGAATCTTTACGTATCTGACCCGCTTTGTCAAGAACCTGACTCCTGATCTAATTCGGGCTTATGAGGTGGTAACACCGGCGGACCACATGAACGATAGTCCCAGTTTCCATATGGGTGATATTTGCGGGCTTAATATGGCTGGTGACCAGATGGGGTTGAATCGACCAACGCCAGCTTTGGCTCAATACCGGGTTCCTGGGGTTCAGGGTCTTTATCTTTGCGGCCCCTTCATGCACCCTGGTGGAGGCGTCTGGGGCGGTGGTCGTCCGGTGGCCAAGCGCGTTATGGAAGATTTGGGCATTGAGTTCGATGCGCACTTTGTCAGGACTTCACGCCTCTAAGGACTGGGGTGGATAAACGTGATGATTGAGTACTACAGTTCTCAAAATGCTATGAGAGTTTTGACGATAGAAGGTGTGATAAATTTCTGAGTAGTCTACCCTCTTGTGAACCATCTACTTCATCCAAGCTTTTGCTTCCAAGTCGACCGTAGCGTATTGTCCTCGGCAAAACGAGATGGAACGTCCCAAAGATGGACTGAGTATTTTGCAGCACGCTGATACCAGCGAAACATAAAGCAGATAGACTCAGATAATTTGGCGGCGTTCATCTTGTCAATGCAGCATATTCCCACTCAGCAGGAACGCAACGCGTCTCATTTTGCTAGCTTTGTGAAGAATTACTCATTATCTGCACCAAGTGATACCTATAGTCACCCTTGCGTGGTTGAGTTGCACCCCGCGCTGCAAGCTATGTCGGTAACGGGTGGAAGCTAAAGACCCAAATCTATATCACTAATTATGATGGATACTAAAGCAAGACATGCCGAGCCCCAAAGGGCCATTCAAGGACATCTATGCCCGCTGAGTCAGCGGCGCGCAAAATTTAAGCATTATGCCAATTATTTTAGATGTTGTTACGTCGAACAGGGACGGATATACAGACTACAAACGGATTGTGGGGAAGCGACGGTGGCCCCTGAATGACACAGCCCGAAGATTGCGAACTCCCGAGCTCATATGTATATAAATATGCATATTCTCCGGTACGGCTCTGTTAAATTTCCGGGTTAGCACACTTTGCTATTTTTTGCAATTGAAAGTATTACTTTGCCTTTATGCCCAAGCCACCAAGGTGCAACATGGATTCGATTGCTAGCCGCAGGTTTTTTCTCCAATCGACAGGCATAGCGCTGCTTGCCCTGCTACTTCAGGTGACTATTCTTACTTATATTCATGTCTTAATGAATTTCGACTAATTGTTTCCTAAGTTATTATGGCGAGCTTACCAAACACCCTTGCGTCGTGTACCCGGTCCGTTCTACGCAAGATTTACCCATCTCTGGTTGAAGAAACACGTGGTCTTGGGCCGAAGAATGCATTACGTGCATAAGATGCACCAAAAGTATGGACCAATTGTTCGCATTTCACCAGAAGAAGTCGCCATTGCAGATCCCGCAGCCTTTCAGGAGATTCATCGCATCGGCAGCGGCTATCTCAAGAGCCCATGGTACTCATCATTCCGGGCAGGAGACAGTGCAGATGTTTTTTCCATGAGAGACCCTCATGACCATGCCCAGCGGCGGAGGTTGCTTGCTCCTCTCTTCAGCAATTCAGCTATCATGCAAAACTGGGACGCCGTTATCGTTGACAAGATTTCGGTAGCGGTGAACAAGATGAAAGACCAATTGTCTCGAGATGGCCAGATCGACGTTTTCAAGTGGTGGACGCTCATGACTGCAGATGTAATTTCCCATCTTGCATTCGGAGAGTCTTTCGGAATGTTGGAGCAGGGAGAGGTAAGCCGGAACTCCCACTTATCAGCCCAACGGACGTGCCAAGTACTGACATTGACAAAATCAGAAAACGTCGGAAATGCAGACTATCGAGGCAGCAACAAAATTTGGCGGGTTCAATAGTGAGCTTCCTATATTAGCAAAGCTGCTTCGTTGTATTCCCAACCGTGCTATACAAAACTTCGTTAATGCCGAAGATAATGTACAGAAGTTTGCCGAGGACACGATGCGCCGAGTCCGTTACTCGGGCATCAAGGGGACCAACATGTTTTCCCGAATTGTCAACGAGAATGAAAAGGAAGGTGCCACCTTGACAGATTATCAGGTCGCCTTTGAAGCGGCTGGCTTTATTGTAGCCGGCTCTGGTACTACCGCAGTGACTTTCACCTATATCATTTGGGCCGTATTGTCCCATCGCGCAGTCCAGGTTAAGCTAGAAGCCGAGGTGGGAGCACTTGCAGACGATTATACCGATGATGACCTGAAGAAGCTCCCATACCTGTCTGCTGTCATCGAGGAGACCCTGAGGCTTTATGGTGCCGCGCCTGGAGCTCTCCCAAGAACTGTCCCAAAGGGCGGTGCAACATTGGGTGGATATCACATTCCAGGAGGCATTACGGTCAGCACTCAAGCATTCAGCCTGCATCGTGACCCGAGAATCTACGACGCGCCCGAAAGGTAAGTGGCCCCCAGTTGAATTGGACTTGACCATAGAACTGACTTCAAAATATTTCAGCTTCATGCCAGAAAGGTTTATCGAAGAAAACGGAAATTTCCAAGCAAATAAGCTCGCTTTTCACCCATTTGGTGCTGGGACTCGTACCTGCCTGGGGATCCACCTGGCGCGAATGGAATTGCGCCACGGGACTGCACTATATTTCCGGACGTTCAAAGGCTCTCGTCTAGCATCCCAGACGACACCAGAATCCATGGACATGGTCAATCATTTCTTGATCAGTCCTAAAGCTGAACAGTGTTGGGTTGAACTAAACTAGTAAAACTCTCTGTATACCCTGTTCCTAAATTGCTTACTTGTTCGAAAAGAAAAAAAATATTTAACTTAACTTCTTTTCTTTACAGTCCATATAACTATGCAAAGATGCAGGTCCTTTGAGAGTATGTGGCAGCCATGTCGAGATGCTAGCCGTCCACTACGTAGGCCAACAGCGCCCGCTATAGCGTGGGTCATTAGTGGCCAGTCTCTTTCCTGTGGTGCCCTTCACTATGTTTCGGGGCCAAGTTAGTATCTACATACAGAGTGTGCCGTACAAACAAACATTCCGAATTCCTTCATTTAGATAGAGAGATTGCCAGAAATCGAATCGTAACATAGCATGGGCAAAAACAGAAAGGTATCGATCGATTATAATGTAAACCGCGTTTCTCATTTATGGACTTAACGCTTCGAGCCAAACACCATTTCCCTTCAGCGAATATTAGCTCAAACCCTGTGCATCCCGCAGGGACATCTACACTAATATGTTGGAGTCGGTGTACTCCAAGGCGGTAAGTGTATTCTTTTCGGTCAAAGAAGATCGAGCTGACATCTCTTTATTACTTCAAAGGATGCACGATTGGTGCCAAGAGAGCCGGCTCGGCCGTACAGCTCACAGCCGGGCCTCATTGATTGCTGTCGGAGGCTATATCTTCGACCAGTGCCTCTTTACCGCCGCTAAGACCGCCACCGTAGACTTGACCGCTTCAGGCGGCCATACAGTGCTTATGCCCTCGTGGTTGTCAAAAATAGTTATCTGGATGATATCATCGCCCCATCGGGTTGGAAGGTATGGAGTACCTCTAACCCGCAAACTGACTACATCACCTTTGCCGAGTACAACAACACTGGCCCTGGTAATTGGGAGAACAACGCCGCCGCCAGAGTCGCTTGGCAGAAATGTACTCTGCTCACCAGTGACACTTATTCGTTGGCCAGCGTTATGGATAGCACAGACTGGATCGACATGACGTACTGGGACAGCATCGCGACACCGTCTCCTGCCGTAAAAACTACAGGTCCAGTGACGGTTGGCACGATAGCCTATGACGGCACAACACCCCCAGCTGGCGCTTACATTGTTTCTAAGACCACCATTGAGGGTGTGACGACTTATGATACCATCCAAGCTGCCCTGGATGACCTCCCAACTTCAAGCAAAATCACTCCCACTGTAATCATCTACCCAGGCGTCTATTCGGAACAGCTCGTTCTGAACAAGTCTGGCACGACCATCTTCATTGGTTACAGCCAAAGTCCGAAGGACTATAGCCAGAACAAGGTCACCATCTCGTTCAACAAGGGCATCAGCACGCAGTCAGGCTCGTCCAACTCGGACTCTGCCACAGTGTATGCCACCGGTAATTATTTCCAGGCAGTCAACATCGACTTTGCCAACACTTTTGGCACGACAGAAGAGTAAGTACCAGACGCCCCATCCTCATTTTCCTACTAACAGTCAAATAGTTACGCCTCGCTCGGTTTTGCCGTCAAGAGCAACAAGTTTGCTGGACTTTGCGGCTGCCAGGTCTATGGCAACCAAGATGCACTCCTCGTTAACAGCAATCTATTCGCATCGAACTCTTACATTGAGGGCAACATTGACATGATTTGGGGATCCGGCGCAGGATACTTCTTGAATTCGACCATAGCACCCAATGACGACAAAATACCTTTGACAGCCAGCAAGAGAACAACCAACACCACGGCTGCTGGTTTCGTGTTCGACCAGTGTAGAGTAACCCCCGCACGAGGCGCAACCTTCAGCCAGGTCTCGCTCGGTCGTCCCTGGAACGCCTTTGCCAGAGTTGCATGGATTGGCAGCTATCTTGACTCGTGTATCGAATCAACTGGTTGGGATGTTTGGACCAAGAGCGACCCTCGCACTGATGGCGTCACCTTCGGAGAGTATGGCAACTATGGCCCCGGAGCATCGAGCTCAGCGATGCTCAGGCTGCCGAGTTCCAAGTTGCGAATTTTTCCACAACATCTTGGATCAATGAGGCTTTTGTCTACACCTCGCCCTTTACAGCTGCCAACTTGACTGTGCCAAGCGCCTCTGCCACCTCTTCCACGATCTCCAAGACTTCATCCACGTCGTCTACACCCCTGTCCACGTCTACAATAAAGACCGTTAAACGAAAGATATTACAATGGATGATCCGCGTTTGTCCACGTTGCCGCCAATCAACGAGGAAAAAAAGCGTTTTTATAATTTATTAAATGATAATGGATTTGAAATTCTTTTTTGGATATATTGCACTAGTTCGAATCGGCGGTGTAATGGCTGAAATTTATATAAATAAAATTCTTTAAAGGAACGATTATACGTGTATTTTAAATGGCGGTATTCGTCGCGGAGCTTTTTGTGAAATGTAGTAGAAGATTAAACTTGCTACGGCGATCGCAACGATATCCACTATATGTAATGCAGGAAGTGTATTTGTTAAAGAATGCGCGTTTATTTTTTTATTTTCTAGAGGGCAAGAGGTATCTTAATCGCTACGGATTCGGGGCCTAACTCCGCGGACGTGCAAGCGTCGCCGTTTTGGCTGGTTTAGAGTAGGTTAGTTGCGAGAGATTAACTTACCGTACAAACTTAAAACGATAACTGTCGAGAAGGGCTTCGTTCGGCAATACACCAAAAGACAAGAAAAAAGTATAATATCGAAAGGGGAAAAAAGTTAGTCGGTTATTAGGGCTGATATGCGCTGCAAAGAATGTCCACCCATTTTTCCATTTTGGAACGTGTGCGCCTAACGCGAACCAATTATCAGATTATGCCGAGACTTTAAGGAGTCGGCCAAGCACAACTATCCATTTGAACTAGTATAATCATTGGTGTCTCCTTCAATCATAAGACAACAAGACATACATGTCGAATGTGATGGCTGGCCAAATACGGCAATCAGGAGGATGAGTGAGGGGTGAGTCTGCACAAGATATCACCGGCTACACCATCCAGTCATCACGATTCCCTCTACGTGGTATGAGTGCTTCATGGCTGCGTATCATTAGAAGTCAACCCAGGAGAGGATAGGCGAACTCAAGTCACTCATGTTGGAGGTCGAGACATGGATGGGGGAACAGAGACTACCAATTGCCAGAATAAATCCATTCATTCCTCTCTGGGTGTCGGACGACTCCGTGAATTGAGACCATCCATGGGTATTGGCCGTATGTGGTAAATGCATTGAAGTCTGAATCGAGCAATCTCCGCTTTGGGGAAAACTCCATCATGTGGCTCTTGATTTCTCAAAGTGGCATTCCTGCTCAATCTGGTTTCGTCCACGATCCTCTCATGGGCTGAAAAATCCTGATTGGGATGACCATCATTATCTCTTACCAAGGAAGGGGCTTCCATCACGCGTTGGCTAGGAGCTATGTGGGGTTTCCAATACAGAAATGTATTCTTTCTACAGAAACGGCTTTCCATTTATGGTATATAGCCGATTTCCTATCTCGGGAGGCCAGTTTGTCAATGCCAATTCCTTCTTTTGTTAATCTTTGCGAACTCCCCCGCCCGTACGGGGACACCGAACCTGAATGAGCAGGCAACAGATATGACAAGCTCAAACATGGTTAGTCAGATCACCATCGCCAACCCCTGGCCGTGCTCTCGCCTGACAAGACTCATATGCCTTCATCTTGCGGTGGCTTATGTCTCCGTCGGTATAATTAATGGCTCCGGCGTCTTCAAAAGAAAATTTCGAGCGACCATCGTCGGATTCTGGAGTACTAAAAACCGACACTCCTTCCGCATCACCTTTCCTTCCCGTATAGTAGCCAACACCACGTCCCTTCCACGTCAGAGCCCTCGCCCATGACAATCATGGTGCAATTTACGTTCATGAACAGCGATGCACGGCTATATGAGGAAAAGGAAGCACGGAGCACGGGAAAGATGCCCAGAAGAACCACTCAACACCTGTCGAACCCGGCGTCTGCCACAAGTATGGCTACAAACACGTTGAGTATGTGCCCTTCTGCCTAGGACTGATCAGCAATTGACATTTGGAAGCTCATCTACAAGGACCTACACAGAAAAACCGTCATATATGTCTGTCCCCGAACAATTCGGCAGACCTTCTTTTTCTCGAAAAGTCGTACGCCGAAAACCAAGCATTAGACCCCGCAGAAATGATGGCAGGGATTGCGCCGGCCGCTACTTTTCTGGCGAGAAGTCAGGACCAAGCGCACATGTCGCAAGCTGTGCAAAGCGGTGAAAATCATGGTAAGTTCATATCGCACTGCACATGGACAGGCATGATTCTGATAATTGAAGCCAATACCCTAAGCATGGCGGGAGTAGATGATAATAATGCCTCTAAACTACTCGATTGTGATGTAAACGCTGCAGTGGAACAAACAGACGATGAATTTGCGGGATCGAGTGTTGCGGATTCGCACAGCGAAATCGGTGCTCACGCCGCTTCGGCACTGGCTAGTAGACATATTCATCATCAGCTTCGATCACAGCCCCAATACCTGGAAGCTCGATCCGGTACACCCAGTGCCAACAATGTTCACACTCCTACACAGGCCGCGGTGAATCCTAATCCAATACGCACTGCATCTCCATGGATCAGTCAACTTTCCAAGATTTCAAACGTACCTTGCTTCAAAGGGGAAATACACAGCCACTCACACAATTCGGGACATTCACACCTTCGGTCCCCAAAGTCGGAAATCAACCTATCAGCCTGCAGCAGCTGTGGGTTTCATGCAAAACGCCTATTCCATTTAACGGAGAACGTCTTTCGATCTAATCCTGACGGCATTGTGCCGTGGGATGCCGTATTGAAAGACGATGCAGTCTTATCCAAGGACGAAAAGGAGGCATTGATGTTCCAAATTAGCTTATGGATGCTCCGAGATTATGCCGCAAGCATGCTATTCTCAAGTACTGATAAAATCGTGCACGAGCCTCCTACGACAGCTAGACGTCATTATACTCGTAATTTCAGAGCTTCGAGCAGGATGGAGGATGATAACATCGATATAGGCGATACGTCATTCATCTCTGATCTCGACACAGATCATCCGGTTGACCTGGAACTCTCGGGTGATGAAAGTGTAAACAGCGTCGCACGCGGCTCGACGCGCAGAAGTATGAGACAAGGCAGGCGCGGTCGGCCTCGAAAAGCTTGGACAGACTCTGACGAGCAGCTCCTCAGATTACACATCCAGGAAAACCACAGTTGGTCAGAGATAGGGCATGAATTAAATCGGACTCCAAATGCGGTGGAGCAGCACTGGAAAATCATGTTTCAAAGGGACAAAATTAATAGGAAATCTCCAGCTAGGCGACGATAGTTCATAAATGATTGAGCTGTGGCGGATTTTCATAGTAAAGTGAAGGAGAATAGGTACGAGTCATATAAAAATGATCTTGTGTATTGTAGATGTGGCTTCGCAAGGCACTCTCAGGTCTTCAAATAGTGGCCACCCAGAACCCTTGCTCACTCCATTCACCCATTAGCTCACCCTTCTCACCCTGCTCATCCATTGTCTCACCCACTGTCTCACCCTGATCAGCCATTGTCTCACCCATTGTCTCACCCTGCTCACCCTGCTCACCCGTTGCCTCACTCAGCTGGCCCATTTATCCCCGGTTTGGTATGGCGGTCAAGATAGCAGCCCGATCACGGAGCTCGCAATCAGTGTTTTTCTTTCATCACTTAGCCGAAGAAGAGATCCAAAATCCGCTGTTGGCGGAGTTCTCATTCACAGCATTTTCTCTATTAGTGGTACTGCCACCAGTGGCGAAAATGGCCTCTTCTCGCTGCCCCACATTAGCTTTACAATCAGCCATCTTCGGATATCTTCCACGTGGACTAAGGGGATCCCAGATTTTATCGCAGGACACTAATTATTCCGGGGCAGCTAGGATGCTATCCTAGAACAAGCAGTGTCCCAAAGCAGACAGCGTCCCAACACAGACATGATCTTGGAACAAGAAGTGTCCTAATGCAGACAGTGTTCTAGAGCGACAATGTCCCAACACAGACATGATCTTGGAACAAATAGTGTCCCAAAGCAGACAGTATCCCAGAGCAGATCTATCTGTTCTGGGACACTATCTGCTTTGGGACATTGTCTGTTTTGGGACACTGCTTGTTCTAGGATCATGTTTGCGTTGGGACATTGTCTGCATTAGGGCAATGTCTGTTTTGGGACACTGCTTGTTCTAAGATCATATCTGTTTTTAGGATACTACGTACAGTACAGTGAAGTGTGACGAGGTAGGCAGAGAATTCCCTGGTTGCTGGTGCGTGCTGATTGAAGAGTTCAGGAACTCGTAAGCTACTTGGACCATGTGGCCAATATCTGGACCATGATCTTGAGAGGGAGCTCCTTGGGAAAGGGAAACATCAATACTGCAATCGTCCAGGCTCTGGAGTTGACATGTCCAAAGTACTCGAGTGCTAACAGGCGTAAATTGGAAATCCAGCTTGAAAAGGGCCAAATACTTCAGAACTTCAGCTACCGGGACCCGCGAATTGATCTATCAGAACCTAGTGTCGATAGATTGTGTAATATTCTCCTTAAAGTCTTTCTTCGAGGACACAAAGTATCAAATCATGGATTTGCGCCCTATACCCACGATAAATTAACCCAAAACTAAACTGATCCTGGGAAACCGATTGAATGCTGAGCCCAGGATTAGTTTCTTCCCAGGACCAGTTTCTTCCCAGGACCAGTTTCTTCCCAGGATTAGTTTATTCCCAGGATCAGTTTCTTCCCAGGATTAGTTTCTTCCCAGGACCAGTTTCTTCCCAGGATCAGTTTCTTCCCAGGACCAGTTTCTTCCCAGGATTAGTTTATTCCCAGGATCAGTTTCTTCCCAGGATTAGTTTCTTCCCAGGACCAGTTTCTTCCCAGGATCAGTTTCTTCCCAGGATCAGTTTCTTCCCAGGATCAGTTTCTTCCCAGGATTAGTTTATTCCCAGGTTTAGTTTATTCCCAGGATTAGTTTATTCCCAGGATCAGTTTATTCCCAGGATCAGTTTCTTCCCAGGATTAGTTTATTCCCAGGATTAGTTTATTCCCAGGATCAGTTTATTCCCAGGATCAGTTTCTTCCAGGACCAGTTTCTTCCCAGGACCAGTGTCTTCCCAGGATTAGGACTGAACTGGCCATGATCCAAATATGAATTCCTAGATTCTCCTTGTATTGCACTATATCTTCCTCTAACAAAGTAAGGATTTACAAGTCAACACCTTCACACATAAACCTGAACCTTTCCCTTAAGCATGGCATCTCAGTACGGTGACGGTGAGATTTATCTCCAAATCAGGGAAGCGCAGCGTCAATGCGATACTGCGCTCGAGAATTTAGGGCTCTCAAAACTATCCAAGCATAACAGATATCGCGTTAAAAAACTATGCAAATGTCGCCCTCTCAGAGACGCTTTCGACCAACTTCGGGTAGTGCCAGGTCTGTGGAAGGGGATGAGGCTGACTACTTTACACAAGTTGATTTGGTCAAAATGCCACGAGGTATGCCTAGACTTCTCTGTAACAGATATGAATCTAATACGAACAGGAAATAATCAACTATTTGAATCATATTTACAGTATTTGGACAGGCTGGTTCCAGGGTGACTTGGCGAAGCTAAAGAACGTTGATGATACAACTGTCGAAGCTCTTCAACTGAGGTGTCCACGATATTCGCTCCCCGATCGGGAATTCCTTCAAACCAAATTTGACCAACTGCCGGCATTTCGAAATCTTCCTACACAAGATCGAATGGAAATCTGGAGCCGAGTTCTGAATACCGAATGTGTCATTCCAAGTCTCTACACATTTTTCAATGACGTCAGGTTCCTTGAAGCATGCGCAGACAGTATGCGATTTATATTGGATTTCCATGACACAGCCAGGACTATTTCCACTGCTCTGTTATCCAGTTTCCGGTATGACGCAAATGATACTTACCCAAACAGAAGTGTTGACTTCGACAGCGGTAGGCGCAAGCTGTGGCTTTATGCTATGAGAAACTACCATCGAATGTCGCAACCTGTACAGGACAGGAAGGGATTACTTGCAAAGGCAAGACCAGAAACTGGGATAGGTGACGTTATCTCCCAGTTCGCTGTCGTGGCAAGCCAAGAAGGATTTCAGAATCCTAAAATCAACTTCTTGAAACAAGACCTATACCGAAATCAGGCAATTCATTCTACTCTCTGCAGAGTCCTCGATGCCAGCGATTGTAAAACTTTGATCGAGTCGGTTACAGAGGGAATTGAAGAAGCCATGGTGTCGCGACCAATAGTCAATCCACGACCCTCGGAATTCCCAGAGCCCGTCAAGTCCAAGACACTAAAGAGTCGATGCGGTTTACCGGAAGTCCGTCACCAAAATGTGGACGGCAGACTGTTATTTTACGAAACGATCCATGGGCAAACAAATCCGCAATTCATAGTCAAGTCCCAACAAATAACATCTTTTTTTGTCCGGAAATGCGTTTACGAAGCATTCTTAGGACCGATATACAAAGAGACAGTGCCTGAAGAATTTGGGTCTACAATGGAGAGCGAGATACGGAGTATTCCTGAAGAGACCATGGATTTGATTCAACCATTCAGTTGGAACACTCGATGCGATACACCAATCTCATGCGGATCATGGAACACCATGGATCTACATAGGGCGGAAATGGAACGACAGAAAATTCACACTCAACGTGATAGAAGCGTCTCGACCCAGGCGCGTAGTGTGGATGGACAAATCATGCATGAAGGGGCTTCTATCAATCAACGTTTCGAGCGGCGAAATGGGATCACATTTTTCAGTTGGGAGAAGGGGAACTGGAAAATCGCTAAGCATGTGGATGCCACGCCGACACAGCGCTCTGATGTGGAAAATGCAGCAGTGAAATTCGTACAGTCATCTCTGCATGTATTTTCAACAAATCTGGTTCCCATAACCCCAGGCAATTGCTTCGACGCGGCGACAGTCAACGGGAGGAACTGTTTACTTTTGTTGATGGAAGAACCATTAGATATAAGCGACGTGGTTATTCAAGCCGCCCAAGGTCTATTAGCAAAGCTCTGAATCGTCAAGTCCATTATTGCGGTCATTAAAATTGATTCTAACAGAGCTTTGAACTACATGGAAAAGGTACTTAAGTACCATGAACTTGAAAGATTAAGTTTACGTAACGCATGTGCACATGTTGGGTCCTGCTGCCCATTGATAGGGCTATCGGGCCTTGAATTTAATGCTGTGGGAAGCGTGAGGCGAGTTAGGCATGTTAAGGGACGGTATGAAGTTCCCCATGAAATATCTGCTAGGATAAAAAACGAGACAAATGGCATGTAGCGCTCGGGGAATTCACCGACGTACCAACGCTAATGTGAGGGTCGCTGAAGTCGAAGGGATTGTATGTTTCAACTGTAGTGAGTATGCATACTTCTATGGATTAATAGAAAGCATTGAAATGAAACCTGCTGCCACTTGAGCAGGTAAAATAGCCAAACTTTAATATATCGCACCGTCCGTTGATTGATATGATAAACGAGAATTACCATCCCCCTTTTGATGGTATCTTAAGTCATGATTCAAATAATTGTGTCTACCATTCTTCCAATCTTTCCATCTAATCCTGTAACTAATATAGGATCCTTAGAAGTTGATAATTGGCGAGCTGTTTCGAGAGATAGCCACCACCCACTTGTTATACCACGGCGAAGTTCTGATTGCGCTGTTATTTTTATTTTTCTTTTTCTTTCTCTTCTTCCCTTTTACTTTTTTGATCCAGGTTGAGCATGTTAATCACACTATACCATAGGCGTTGGAATGGAATTGTCTCCAGATCCCACCAATCTAGTGTTATTTATACTCAACCGGTGGCCAATCAATGTGGTCCAGACGCTGATTCGTACCATATCTATGAGAGAAGCCGGGTTTCTTTTTCCAGATAGCAAGGGATGCTAAGAGAGTCAGAGAGAGGAAGAAATGGCGGCCATGTAGGCGTACCTCAAGCAAAACTTGGAAGCTTCCAGCTGATTTCAAACCATCAAGGAAGGAAATAGCACGACAGTCAGTTGGCCACCGCTGATTGACTCTGCCAAATTCGTAACCCACTCCAATTTTGTACATCAGTCTTGAAGTGATTTCCGCGATCCGGGCCATATCCTGAGAATGCTCGCTCGAAGTTGCGGTATACTTGCAAAACTCCTGGCTTGCTAGTATGGGTTGTCAATAACAGTAAGACCTCTGGGTAAAGAGAAGTGGTTGGCCCACCTAGTTTCAGCACACCAGTAGAGGTCAAAAGTATTCTTCTTGGATCGATAGACGAGAGCTTTAGTGCCTTCGATTTCAGGTAGGATAGTCCGTCAATCATCTACGGTCTGTGCTTAGTGTTGTTTCTTCATCCTTATCTTTGGGGTAACTGACTTGTCCAATAATAGCGTTTAGCTGTAAATCATCTGGATAAAGCGTGGACTGAATCACGTTCTCTAGAGTTGTTACCGTGTCCTCGAACAGAATGTAAATACTGTCTTCAGTTTTGAACGCTTCGATGGCGTTCAATATATTTCGATGATGGAGTTCACCGGCTGACTTGAGAGCTGCGTGTCCCAAGGAAGTCGAGTATTGACGTATCGCTACACATGTGTAAGGCTGAGTCTTCTTCACCGCAAAGGTAAAAAGTTCGCCAAGGTAGTGGCCAAACGAGAGTTTGTAATAGATCTGGGGCGACTCCTCTAGAACTCTCAACGCCCGGTCTACGCCCTTGCCATTACGAAGAGCGAGCTCTTCGGTTTCTATTTCTTCACCGCGCTTCCTTTTCCGAATAACGTGGCGAGTATCCGTATGGCCTATGGGGTTGTCAGGGAGAAAGTCTGGCGCTGGCAGCTCCGAGCGCGGCAGGGCGATAAGATGGCCAATCTGAGTGACACGTTTATCATTACTGGCCATGGCAGTATACGATGAGTTGGTTGTGAATATGAAAGCCCAAGTTGGTTTCGAGATGCGCGTGCTTCGGACTACTGTAGCAGTACGTAGTATGTAATACATAATTCGAGCCATTTCTAGCACTAGATAGCAGCGTGGAGGCAGTGCATCCTGGTCCTAAAACAGAACGGCCACCAAAGCAGCGTCTGAAAGCGGTGATCTTGGCCTCACAAACTTCAGGAATGGAGCGTGGACTTGGACATCCAGAATCCGCTCTCGTTGATTTAGTTGAAAACCCTTAGTAGAACATCCAGGTCTGGCCCTTCATCATGCCAGTTTTGAGTGTTGTACTAAACAATACGGTATAATACATACAAAACGAGGTCATATTCACGTGCAATGCGGCTGCACTTCTGAGTGGCGACCCACATCATTAATTGAATCTCGCTACGACGTTGGTGGCCAACGTAGGAGGATGGTAGTGATCGTTCATCGATGAGGAGGACAGGAGTGATATATGAGGATGCTTGTTATGTCTACCTGTCCAGGTGAAGGCTTCCTTCATATACTTGCTGTAGATCTACAACAGTGCTACTTATCGCAGTAATTTTTACGATAGGACCAATCTACTTTGAATCGTCCATGACAACAGACAAGCTGCCTTCTGCCTATTCAAGTCGACCGTTCAGAAAGATTCTGCACTATAAAGTTGGCCTAGAACGAGCGCCCCGATCAACTGAACCCCGACCCTGCCTTCAAGAATACTGCGCTCGGGCTCTTGTTCATATAACCTTCATTGAGAACAGATCATCTGAGAATAGTATTGGGCAATAGCCGGTGGCAAAGTTGACGGGAGCAATTCTAGCAGTGTCTCCTCCAGTACTGTGCAAGTACAAGTTGTCGTATCATAAATTACTGATCAACCACAACTCCGTATTGTTGAAGAGCCATTAAAGTTTCTAGTACATCGCCAATGTCGCGGGTGTATCTGGACACGAACCGTTCTGCAGTTGCCGCTCTCTGTCTCCACAATTGTATTTCTCCTTCGTAAGCACTACATCGTTCCTCAAGCGTCGTAAGCTCAGACTGTATTTTCCCACATCGCTCAACCTCATCTTTCCATTTTGTGTCACGTTCAGTGAGAGTGGCTTCCAGTACGGCTATTCGGCTGTTAAGCTGAGCAATCTGGGATGTGAAACTAGTCTTCCGTGTTTCCTAAGAGATCACAATTTAAGCGTTTCTCGTGAGGTGAAATATGGATTTTGCATGTACTTTTGTGGATTCTTGAGGAACGTCCCTTTCAGACAACACAGCTTCGAACGTCTGCCCGATGTCTTCATAGGTTTTCTTGAAAGCGCCAACAGAATGATCGCTCAAGTTTTTTACGAAGAGATATTCGACCTCTGCTAAGTATTTCCATGTGTACAGGTCTTTCGACGATGTGATGAGTCGGACCTCGGACGGTAGAACGATGATGCCTGTCTGTTGCTCTACAACTATTGAGTTATATGGTCTGGAAGGAACCGGTATTCGGGACACAAACTTATATGCTCAGCAAGCGCAATCCTGCACTTATCTCTCCATTGTCGTCTTTCAATATTACTTGACTTGGGCATGACGGTTGGGAGAAGGCTATGACCGGTAGTTGGATTGCGTGGATTGTTAGAACGAACAACTAGATTGATTGGTAAGGTACTTAAATGATATTGTCACTTCGGCAGCCTCTATCTAGATATATAATCCTCTTTTCGAGGATAATTTGGATCATCCGTGGAATGAGTCGACCGTACACTGGATTATCGCCACAACGGACGTATTTAGCCACATGACCTGCAATCATTCCTTCAGACTGCTCATGATCCATGATTGGTGTTTTACTCATTCTGGCTGATAATCGAGTTCCCTAAAGACCGCACCTCTTGAACCATATGGGTAGACCTCCTTTCTCACCTCATCTCGAATTTTTGCCGTACCTGAGACTAGGAACCAATCAGCATCCATGATATGAAGCCTATACTGGTAACTTACAGAGAATCAACGTGTTATCCAAGTCCCTGGACCCGTTATCGAAAGTTTTAGCTCGGCTTTCCACATCTTGGTGATCACCCCCAACTTTGTTTTGCATAATTTCACGAAATCCTGGGGCACCATTTATCACTTTCAGCCGGGGCTTTTCAGGGGAGTCAAGGATAGAGCCTTCATAGTAGATTGAAATCGAGAGGATATGACCTCTATCGCTCAACAGACCTTCGTTCAAGAACTCTTTCATAGCATTAATCTGGCCTGTAAACTATCAGCTCATGTCATATGCCGCTGGACGGGAAGTGTACTCAGTTTGGAGGCAGACCAGACCAAATCGATCTTCTCGGTGCAAGCTTTTCTTGAATTATGTCCGTGGATTAGCTTTTTCAGATACGGCAGCATTGCCACTATCCCAAAGTCGTTGGCGATCAATACTACTCTTCGATACTTCCATACAGGACAGCTCCGACCATACGGCCCGTTGACCAGGGCGACCAACCACTCATTGTATGCTTCGTCAGGGATAGTTCTGGTCATTTTCATAGAGCGCCTTAGCATCTTAGACGTAAGGCCCTTCCGGGGCTGGATGACCATTTTGACTCTGTCCAGTGGCGTTTCTGACCATGACACCACGACGAAGGGATGCATTTGAGTGAATGACCAAAAGCTTATTCCTGGTATCCACAGATACAAGTGCTGTCCAGCATCCAGAAGCATTGACCGCGAGAGGTTCACTTCGATCATGATTATGCCCTCCTGATTTTTGATGCTAGCACGGGTAGACATGTACCCCCATCTCTTGTTGCGGTAAATCATGAGAAGAACTCGTGATATAATAATTGCAATCGAAATTCCCACATAAGAAGCGAAAAAGATGAATTGGAGCTTGTGGACAGGGAGTAAGTGCTGTAGAATCCCAACTATCGCTACTATTGACAGCACCTGATGTCCTTTTAGGAACAACTCGTAAACTCGGTTCCGGAGTATAGGGAACGATAAAAGCACAAGGGAAACCATCGATAGAGTGCTCTACGAGTGTGTTAACGATAAGCCTTTCGATCAAGGTCCGGGGTTGAATACAGATGCTATGTATGGGTCTTGGAGGATGGAGAACTTTCCATCGCCAAGGGCCGGTATACAAATGTGGCACAAAGCTAGACCACAGCACATCGTTGCACTTGTGCGATGGATACGAACGCCAAGGCGGTGCGAAATCAGCAGGCTATCAAACCAGAAGGCCAGGGAGAAGTTGATGACAAATGGAACCATATTCAAAAGAGCTAGGTTTCCGGCGCGCAAAGCTGCGTCCCTTTTTGATGCAACTTGAAAAGTCAAGCATAGCACGTTGAGCGATACGTATATAGAGTGAATAATAGTCGATAACATGGTGATTGGTCCTACGTATTTGTGCCGGCGTATCAAGTACCTCCCAGAGAGAACATTCATAGTTCTTGAGTATACTCCCTGAATCGGCTTCCGGTAGCGTATTATCGTGAGGATCAAGAAGAGACCGATACAAGTACCCCACCATGCAGAGTATATTATCATGAAGTTCATGTGAGTAAGCCAACAGGGTGAAGAGATGCGATTGTTTAATGGTACAGTATTGTGTGAAACCTACATGGGGCTCTATTTCGATATAAAGCTGGGATGCTATTGAGTATCCAAAATGGGACCAGATCCCCAGTGGGTTCTGAGCGTATGTAAAGAGGGAGTCGGAAATGGACAAGATAGAGTAAAGCCTCAAACAAAGCCGACTCCGTTCCTATTTCTTCTCTTCATAGGTACACGGTGCGGTACAGTAAGGTAGGTACGATACCTATCATATGTCTTATTAAGATAATATATCCTCTTTTTTTGCGCCAGTATCGGCTTCTGTGAAACGTAAAGTGCCCATTCCAGAGTGCGAAATTCATAGTTCTTTTATACTTGGATAGGAGTTCGCCAATATTGTATCGGATTTCTATATTGGAAGATTGTAGCATAATCAGGTATCCATTACATACACAACGAACCACGTTTGCCTGCTCGAGTAATTCGACGTCTCACAAAATGGACGGGCTTCACCATAACAAGCAGCAAAAAGACAAAGCTCGAAAAAGGGGTGCTTCACTCAAGAACAAAGG